TTCATTTATTTATTTAATAATAGTAAAATAATTCCGAAATTGAAATTTTAATTAATATTTCGTTTAACAATAATTTTTGTGACATTTTTGTAAATTAAAAAAAATTAAGTATAAAAGATGCATTTTTTCTGAGGTTCAGGGCTATTCTACGAATTCGTAAATATGCCCATTGTTATTTTTTCGTCGAGCTACCACAGTTTAAATAAAAAGAAGATTCTACGATGAATAGAAGCCGAGATATTGTAAAATTTTACAGCGCGCATCAATTTGAACTTTGCGGAAAATTCAAGTCTTAACGTTTATAATCAATTGCGCTACGATTTAAATGCTTTTTTTAAATTTGTATTTTTTGCCAGCTATTAATTGCATCTATTTTCGGTGAGGTAGCATAAATACCAACAATTTTATTCAAATTGTTTATAAGCGAAAAACGCACGTTTTTTTAATGCACAATTTGAGAATGTTAATGTCAAAAAACCGGTGATATTTTTTAATAGGTCGCTTAATTACGTCTTTAAGATTACAATGACGCTTTCAGAATCATGTTTGGTTGAAAATTAACGCCTGTACAAAGGCTTAAAGTTCATAACTTTTGTAGCCTCCGTTATAAACAAATTGAATTGTGCGAAAACTATTGCACCTACAGCGCCCACTTTTGGCACACTTTTAAAGTATGACAAAACCCTCAACTTGTCGTAGGTTTCATAAAATTTTCACAATAAATGCGATAGTTATAAACAAATTTAAAAATGGGCACTTTTCTTGTTTTTTTTTGCAATAACTTTTTTGTTTATTAACCGATTTTAATTTAACAAGTCTCATTTTGTAGATAATTTTACTCCCTACAAGCTGTCTGAGAGTCACTTTTCGCTAAAATCGATGGTTTTCCCTGCAAAGTGAAAAAACTGTTTTCCTCACTTATTTGTTTAAATAGAAAAGTTAGCTAATAAAAGTTTTTGACTCACGAGATGAGAGATGTCTTGTATTATGTTCCTTTGGACAATTTTACAATAATCTCACGAATAATTTTTTTTTGTGCTATTAGTATAAATCATAAATGTCGATTTAATAATCATTTAATAATCATTTCTTAAATTAAAATGGTATTTAACCTTCTTATAATATTGATCCTAAATGTAATAATTGCAGCGAAGTTTATTCGTGTATATTGCAACATGTACGTTTGCAGCTGCATGTTTGTATATTATTATATTTTCATTAGTTATTCATACATAAATATATCCACGCTAATTCTACGTGGAAGCTAATGACGTAATGCCAAACCAATTATTTATTCACATCGACAGATAGATCCGCCGTTAATTAATCAAACATTTTAATAAATACATATTGGGAAATATATGGCTTTGTGGAACTGAAATTAAAACCTTGCACCAATGCTAAAAATGTAGAGTTGCATATTTAATTCGTATGTGTACGGATTATTAACATTTCGTTGATAAAAGTCGATTTTAAATATCTGTGTTGTAGAGTTCTGAAAAACCTCTGGTGAATTGCAAGGGAAATTACATATTTCACTGTTACAAGAACTCTTATAAGTATCGTCGTAGAGTATGATTTTGAGGCGGTTAAAATAACGTGGTTTACGAGGGAACCGAGGCCGACTTAAAGCGGCTTATAGTTTCAGTTCGCGGTTAATGGACGCGTCGCATAGTACGCGGGTAATGTCTGATGTCAGTGTGAGGGAAAGTCTTTAAGGATAAGGACAAGGCAGGTTTTAATTTAAAGTAAATAAAAAAAACAACTTTCTTACAACAAAACAAAGTAAGACTAAGTTTAACGTAATTTAATAGACACTTATTATATTATCGAATACCTACATGGGTAGCTAATAATGAATCTATCTCACAATATTGTTTTATCTCTTGAAACACCTTTTTCAAAACGTAATAACGTAAACTACTGCTCTAAACAAATTAAAATCACTAATCAAAGAATTTTTGAATTAGGAAACGAAGAAAAATTTGAAAATATGTTTAATTATGCGAAAAATGTTACTGGACTACCAAGTACACGGGGCAAAAGTTGCGACGAAGTGGAAATATTTTCGAAATATATTTCCCTTTAATTAAGTATCTACTCGTTTTGGAAATGTACACGATTTAAATTTTTTGCTTTAATAAATTCCTCAAAATTTCCCAAATATGAACCTATTCACAATGTCACGAGCCGCCACTGCTTTAGAGTACCTGGTATGCAAGCTTTAGGGGCTTGTATCCCTCAGGACCTTCGTCGCAGGCTCACAAACTCCTAAAATTTTTGCGAGAACTTTTTCAACTCTGTTTCGAATTTTTGAAATTTATGAGATTTATTGAAATTTCCTATTAATTTACAATAATTGCCACAGCTGTGTGCAATGCAAAAGCCACTAGCCAGATATATATCCCTTCTTAATAAACTTTGTGGTATTGAGGCTGACGTTCCAACACACTCTAGGCTGGGCCCGCGAGGTTCCTGCAGTGCTGACCGCGTTGAATTTGAGAATTTAGATTCCTTGAAATACGTCCAGCTTGGAAGGGCGACTGTCTCCAAAAGGATATTGATGTGAAATTTTTCTCGGTGTCTCGGGAATCGGTAGCATGCTCTGTTAGCACCGTCTGCTACGGGTGATGGCGACAGTCGAACTTAACGCTCGTCTTCAAATTAATGTCAAGGGATATTTTTTTGTTTTACGCGTTCACTGGAATAACAAACGAACCTCCTCGTAGCTCGTACCCAAATAATTCATTTGATTAATTTACAAAGCAAACGCGACGTCGTGGAATTCCAAACCACCCTTAATTATTAATTGTGATATTCCGTTGCAGGTTTGTAATTGGGCAATACGTCACCGTGCACGGGGACGTGATAAGTCACGTCAACATCAGCCAGGTGATGGTGGAGGACGGAGGGGAGTATACGTGTACGGCCGAGAACAGGGCCGGGAAGACGTCCCATTCCGCCAGGCTCAATATTTACGGTAAGCCGTTTTTGTCATTTGATCTAATATAACAATACTTGTTGCGTTGCTGACGCTTCTTCAATCGTAATAGTGTAAGTTTATGACAATTATTGGATTCTTCTCTTTCTTTGCAAAATTTACCGACGTTTCGAATATATCTAGCTCAGTATTGATCTTTAGTCCTTTGTTGATGAGAATCGACACTAGGTCCTAAGACAAAGAAAGTTATTAAAAACTAATTAAATTTACACTGAGCCTTCGACTTAATTTTCTCATCGTAGAAAATCGTCTTCCTTGTGTGATCCAACATATTCCTCGAGGGCATTTGCGGTAAGGATGCGCGACAGGAGATTTACCTTCCTCGTGAACAGAACAATATCGATTTTCGTAAAGCCGCAGTTTATTCTTTTGTTGGATACCAATTTCCTTTGATATACGATCATATTAAAGAAGTCTTCACTTGGCCGATACATACAGGGTCGGAAAGTCCCCATGGTTCATCGGCCGTTACGTAAGAGCGATAAAGTAGGTCATAGAAATCCGTGCGATAGAGAAAGATGGCTGTAATGAAGGCGTCTAATAGTCACCGCCCATTTCGCCCTTCCACAAATAAGATCCACGATTTTCTGAAGGTATTCAGCGATTTACGGAAAACTGAACGGTGATGGAGCAAAACAGACTATGGATTCCTGCTCAGGAAACAAAAATACACAGGAAATCATATGCCGCATGTAGAGTTCACATTTTTTTTTTTTTGGCCGGTGTAATCAAAACAAGGCGGTTCTGCTGAATTTACTGTGTGCTAAACATTTTTTATAGCCGTTCTGGTTCTTTTTGGAGAGTTTGAGGAATTCTGATACTATTATTTTGTAATTCAAGGCTGTTTTGTTTTATTCTGGTTAGTGATTATGTATTTAGAGAATCGTAAATCTATTTTGATGTATTTGAAGTTATTTCCAAGTATATAGGAATATTTCATAATTTTCGAGGTGTTTCAGGGCCTCCGATGAGCATTTGTGGCATTCCGAATTTTTTTTAAGTATTTGAAAGAAATGAGATGTGGCATGGAAATAATTTTGAGATATTTAAATATATTTCGGGGTGTTGAAATTTTTCATAATATTCTGCAATTATTTCGCAATTTTTGCAACATTTTCGTAATATTTTTGAAATTTTTCTCATTTAAATTTACTGTATTGGCTCTCTTTTAATTGTCAAAGAGCTTCTCGAGCTGGATTTTTTCTTCTTGAAATTTTTCCCTTTGGTCCACTTTGCAGGTCCACAAAATTTTATTTAAAAATAGGCTCGGTGTTCGGGTGTGTAATTCTGGCAAAAGAAAATGGTTTCACTGCGCCTCATTCTGTCCCTGTATTTTTCCTCAAACGTACTTTGCTTATTTTGGCTCCAGGAAATTCTAGTTGGATCTAACGTCAAATTCCTAATTTATTTTCCCGATAGTTGTCTAATGCGCGAACAATTTCCTTGATGACTCTTTTCCATCTATAATCAAGCTGAATTTATCACTATAGATGCTAAATATTATGTACAATAACATATTAGTTTCCACAGTCATAAAAATGGGGGGAAGATTGTTTGCAGGGTGGTTAATTGTATAATTTTTACGTTAATTCGCGTTTGTCGCTTATAACTTTTTTAATATGTTATTGTAACGAGCGTTCAAATAAAAACGTGGTCAAGTTGGTTCTGAAAATTTGGACGTAGGGCGTAGCGTATAGCAAATGAACTTAAACGTCATCTGTCAAAGCGCTGTATCATGTGGCTGTATCGCCGCTTTGTTATTGAAACTGACAGCTGTGACAGCTGCTATACAGCTCGTTGAGAAATGAGGTTAAGTTGGTCGCTATAAGCTACGCCCTACGTCCAATGTGTCAGAGCCAACTTCGACCACGTTTTTATTTGAACGCTCGTTACATAATATTTAGCATCTACAGTGATAAATTCAGCTTGCCGAAACAAAAAGTCGCGAAATGTCATTTCCCAGCTTATTTTCCTAGACTATGAGCCAAATTAATTATAGGTGCACAATTCATTCCATTAATAGTTGACAGTCTTGCGAGTCTAAACTCAAACTGAATATGCCCCGGCCACAATGCTTGCTGGAAATGAACGTGGAATTGTAAAATATTTGCACCGGGCGGGTACACAATGCCGAAACATAAAGTTACTGTGACGCCCGGTGTCCCGTTGTAATATACGTTGATTACGCCGTTTGTGGACACCTGCAATTTAGCTGAAATCTGCCATATTTTATTTCCTTTGTTCGGCCCTTTCAAGCACCACAGAACGTCCCGCAGAATAAACGCAATTACGGCGCGCGGCGTGTCGGGATAAGAGTAGTTTTTCAGAACAGGTTTCGCCTACCCGACCATTCTTAACACCAAAATGTGGAAGAAATTTTCGAACGAATTAAAATCCGTCCTTTGCCGCAAAAAGTGTCAGGAAATTATTAAAGTTCTTACAAAAATATGCTCTACGATGCTTCTTTGCAGCCCTTTAAGGGAGGGAGAGGAAGAATGGTATGGAAAAAGCCCTATCCGTTCAAAACGATAGTTTTTGTAAAAAACAATTCTCTTCGATATCAGAAATCTACAAAAGATCTCTGACTCCACAGACAAGTCCCCTAACCGCTAATATTGCAGGAAGCAACTACACCTCTGCAAAAAATTAAGGGAGCAAAAAAATTTTTCGAATTTTTAGTGATTTTTCAGAATGCTGTATCTCAGTTAAAAATGATCGTATCAAGGTTTTAAAAAATGCATTTTAAAGCGCCGAATGTCTAGTTTCCAAATTTCTTAGCTCAAAATTTTTAGGAGGGACAGTCATCGCGAAATTCTAAGAAATAAGACTAAAAATCAATCAATCAATCAATCAAATTTTTGCGTTCTTTTTCTCGGTCCACGGGCTTGGAAAAATTTTTTACACAAAAATCGTGATATGGACTTGATAGCCTGTTCATTCAGCTTTAATTTCTTTTTTTAAATTTTTCTCTACGTTAATTTGACCCGGAGATATTCGACTACGAATACAAAAGCATCTTTTTGGCTTTAACTATCGATATCTCAGCAACTAATGATCAGACAGAAATTTGACTGGCAGTTTCGAAATCTCGAATAAGTTTCCTACAAGGCTATGTAGTGTTCTTGGAAGAAAAAAAATTTCTTTCATCCTCGACATTAACTTGAAAAAAGTGAAAAAAGTGATTTTTTGACTTGTTTTGCTAAGTCGACCGCATCTTTGCTAATATCGATGGAGAGTCTAATGCTTGTACGAATTTTTACATCTCGATGTACCCCCAAAAGCTCCGTAAATGGGCAGATCGATCTATCGAACGGTTTTTCCGGACCGCTTAATCAAAATTTCAGAAAAATTTAAAGGAGCAAAATTTACATTTCTAAGCACCCTGTAACGTTCGTAAAAATGAAAAATTAAGCATTTGACTCTCCATCGAAAGTAGCAAAGATGCGGTCGACTTAGCAAAACAAGTCAAAAAGTCACTTTTTTCACTTTTTTCAAGTTAATGTCGAGGATGAAAGAAATTTTTTTTCTTCCAAGAACACTACATAGCCTTGTAGGAAATTTATTCGAGATTTCGAAACTGCCCGTCAATTTTCTGTCTGATCATTAGTTGCTGAGATATCGATGGTTAAAGCCAAAAGTAGGTTTTTGTATTCGTAGTCGGATATCTCCGGGTCAAATTAACGTAGAGAAAAATTTAAAAAAAGAAATTAAAGCTGAATGAATAGACTATCAAGTCCATATCATGATTTATGTGTAAAAAATTTTTCCAAGCCCGTGGACCGAGAAAAAAATCGCAAAAAATTGAAAAAAAAATTTTTTTAGTCTTATTTCTTAGAATTTCGCGATGACTGTCGCTCCTAAAAATTTTGAATTAAGAAATCTGGAAACTAGACATTCGGCGCTTTAAAATGCTTTTTTAAAACCTTGAAACGATCATTTTTAACTGAGATACAGTATTCTGAAAAATCACTAAAAATTCGAAAAATTTTTTTGCTCCCTTAATTTTTTGCAGAAGTATATTATTCTATGGGCTAAAGGCTAAAGACACCGACTAGCATTGAATTACACCAACAATACCTAGTAAATAGCTAGCTAAATAATTATCCAAGAGAAAACAAGGGAAAATGGCATCCTAATTTTTTACAAACATTTTTCTATTAATATGGCTCTGAAAACGCTTCGAAAAAGTTACGAAATGATAAAGGTTCACTACAGGTCTTTAGATTATCGATTACAGTAGTCCTATACAAGAATAAACTTTATTTATTTTAATATTTTAAATATGTCGAGGAAGAAAGCTTTGGTTGCCGATGTATTGCAGAGACAAATGACTATGGAGATAAATGAGCAACGCACACCGAAATATATTTAGTTTACCGGTCAAAAACTGCTCGACAATGGGTCGTATCTTTTTGTACAGTTTCCTGGTAATTAGGCAAAACTGTAAGCGGCGGCGGCTCATCGCGAAATAGCGTAGCAACTATTAAGAACAACACGCGGAAAATCGTCCCTCGCATTAGCATTGCAGGATGGGAGAATGTAAATGACAAATATTTCTCGTGTGACAAATGTCGCGTCGTTTTTCCGTTGTTTTTAGACTTGTGACAGTCGAGCGTGCCATGGTCGCATGCTTGTTTTTTTATTTCGATACTGAATCAAAGACTGTTAATGCTGTTAAATTAGAGGGTTGAAATTGAAAATAGGGGTGAAAATGCACTTTTGCAGTTTTTTAAATATAGCACGGAAACGAAGCAAAATTTCGGTATAGTTCATAGGAAAAACTTTGTAGAGAATTGAATTTCCCATCGCTTATTTAAAAAATTTAAAAGAAAAATGTTATGCAAAAAATCGTTAATAAATAATTTTAATAAAAGTAAAAAATAAGATTTTTTGATATTTTTTACTTTTTTATTCATTTTTTTTTATTAGAAGCAGGCAAATAAAATTCCTGTACAAAAAAACTAGATGAGATTTCCTTCAAAATGATGCGTTTTCAAAAGTTTTTGGACTAATATTTACAGGGTTATTTAATAGTTATAACCGGTCAAACTTAAATATTTTTTAGATTTTCGTCGTTTTTAACATAAATTAGAGACAAAAAAGGAGAAAAATCAAAAAATATAATTTTTTGATTTTTTAAAATAGTTTTTAACGATTTTTTGCATAATTTTTTTCTTTTAAATTTGTTAAATAAACAATTTAGATGGAAAATTCAATTCTCTACGAAATTTTTTCTATGAACTATACCGACATTTTTCTTCGTTTTCGTGCTATATTTAAAAAAATGCAAAAGTGCATTTTCACCCCCATTTTCAATTGAAAACCCTATAATTTAATAACACACCGCGGTTTTTTCATTTTTAATGACCCGTCGAACAAATCATGTGATGAAAATCTTTGAACGGATCCTTCCTTTTTTGCAAAAAATAAGAATTAAAACGTATAAGGGCAAAGGCGACGAAATTCGAAAAATTGACCATATATCAGTCAATTTTCATCCAAAAAAAATGTAAACCTCTTTTTTTGAAGGAAATTTTATTTATTTTTTTTTAAATAGCAATGCTTATGCTATCTCTACTAAAAAAAAACTAGAGGCAAAAAAGGAAAAAAAAAATTAAAAACAAATCGAATTTTTTGATTTTTTCAAATTGCTTATTAACCATTTTTTGCATTAAATCCTTCCTCTTTGTAAAAAATGAGAATTAAAACGTAAACGCGATGAAATTCGAAAAATTGACCATATATCAGTCAATTTTCATCCAAAAAAAATGTAAACCTCTTTTTTTGAAGGAAATTTTACCTGTTTTTTTTTTATGAAGCAATGCTTATACCTATCTTTACTAAAAAAAAACTAGAGGCAAAAAAGTAAAAAAAAAATAAAAAAATCGAATTTTTTACTTTTTTTTCAAATTGTTTATTAAGGATTTTTCGCATAAAATTTTCCTTCCAATTCCCATCCAAAAATATTGTACAACCTCTTATTTTGAAGGAAATTTTATCTACTTTTTTTTTTAATAAGTAATGTCTATACCTATCTTTACTCAAAAAATAAACTAGAGGCAAAAAAATTTAAAAATAATTAAAAAAATCGAAATTTTTGCTTTTTTCAAATTGCTTATTAACGATATTTTGCATCAAATCCTTCCTTTTTTGCAAAAAATGAGAATTAAAACGTATAAGGGTAAACGCGTCGAAAATAAAAAAATTGGGTTTGAGCCAAAAATACTTTACAACCTCTTTTTTTGAAGAAAATTTTATCTGCTTATTTTATGAAGCAATGCCTATAACTATCTCTACTCAAAAAAAACTAGAAGCAAAAAAGTAAAAAAAAAATAAAAAAATCGAATGATTTGCTTTTTTTGATTTTTTACATAAAATCTTCCTTTTAAATTTTTTAAATAAGCCATTTCAATGAGAAATTCAATTCTCCAAATAATTTTTCCTATGAACTATAGCGAAATTTTGCCTCGTTTTCGAGCTACAATTAAAAAACTGAAAGGGGTGCATTTTAATAGCATTCCGCGGTTTTTTCATCTAAAATGACCATTTGAACGATTCTTGTAATAAAATATCTTGAACGTCATAGTTATTTTTAAAATCCTTTAATCAATAGCCTAGTAGGTATAGACTTATTTTAGTCCAGTTAACTAAGCCTTTAAATCGAAATTTTGCCAACTTGGCTGAATTTTTGATATGAGTTAGTTTAAGGTATATTATAACAATAAGTGAGAGTAATTTTTTGTTCAACCCCCGGCCAAGGGTGGAAAAAGATAAAACAAAGGGCTTTTTCAAGATAACTCAAAAAGGGTAAGAGCTAGAAAAAAAAGTGTCATGAAAGTTGTAAAGCAGACAATTCTACATAAAAATGGCCTCTTAACTTTTTCTTGTACTATTACAATTAACAGAGTTAGGGAGGCTAGAAGTTAAGGGAAGATTTCAGAAATTTAAAAAAAATCATAACAGAAAAATGATTGAATTTTGTAATTTTTTTTTCAATCTGCTCTAAAATATGTAACTTTTCTTTTCAGAGAAATAGATATATTTTCTAATTTTTAATAAGAAAGTTATAACAAAAAATCAAATTTTTAATCGTTAAATTTAATGATTTAACAAAATTAAATTTCTGAAATCTTCCCTTAACTTCTAGCCTCCCTAACTCTGTTAATTTTAATAGTACAAGAAAAAGCTAGGAGACCATTTTTATGTAGAATTGTCTGCTTTACAACTTTCATGAAAAACTTTTTTTTCTAGCTCTTACCCTTTTTGAGTTATCTTGAAAAAGCCCTTTGTTTTATCTCTTTCCACCCTTGGCCGGGGGTTGAACAAAAAATTACTCTTACATATTGTTATAATATACCTTAAACTAACTCATATCAAAAATTCAGCCAAGTTGACAAAATTTCGATTTAAAGGCTTAGTTAATTGGACTATTATTGGGAAATGAGATAGCATTCAAGAGAAAAGTAATAAAGGGTAAAACATTGGAAATTGTAGGAAAACTTATCCATTATGACATTCAAGGCTCGTTCTCTAATACGGTTCAACTTATTATATCTGGCCAGTGAAGGTCGGATGCGCAGTGGCAAAACGTGGGAGACGCTCGCGGAGCTCATTTCATTATCGGAATTTTTAGAGTAAATGTTGGTTTATTTTTCCCTTTTTAGTGCATTTTAATGAAAGCTTGTTTTTAAAATATTTTAATTTTAATTTTAATTTATTTGTTGCTATAATCTCGGTAGTATCACGAGAATCGTTGTCCTCTTCAATGGCGCCTTTAGCGACTTTACGTACGACGCAACAGTTTTACGGTGCGCATATCCCTTTACCGAAACGGAGAACTATGTTTTCACACTACACTTACCGCCTCCCTCGGCTCCTGACCGTAAATCTCGGTATCCTCCTCAGGGATGCCGTACATCAGGCTGATTCCCAAAGTGACGGCGGTGGCTGGTGAGACCCTGCAGCTGAAGTGCCCCGTGGCCGGCTACCCCATAGAGGAAATCCACTGGGAGCGCGGCGGCAGGGAGCTGCCGGACGATCTCAGGCAGAAGGTGCTGGCCGACGGCACCCTCGTCATCAATCCGGTGGAGAAGAAAGCCGACTCCGGGGTGTACACCTGTTGGGCCAGGAACAAGCAGGGCCAGAACGCCAGGAGGAGTGGGGAAGTCAACGTCATAGGTATGTTTTTTTTTTGTTTTATTATGAACACTTATAACCTCGTTATATTTTTATTATAATTTTTTCATACAATAAAAAACAAAACTAACCCTTTTATGGTTGATTCACTTAAGTAACTACAGGAAAGTGTATAGTTTTCTATATTTAGAAAATGTACGTTATACAGGGTGATTCAGAACTTTAACAAAAGAAATTTTTTGAATGTACACTCTTACAAATACAATTTTGTAAAAAAAATCAAAAAGGGCAATTCGCAAATGATCTAACTTCTGCACGGCAATGGAAACTGGTCGGCGATCAGCACGGCGGCAAAGTGTAACAAGAAATTAACGGACAAAAAATTTCTTTCCCAGGGACAGAAAGAAATAAAATTTTATAACACCTTGTTACAACAACATTTGGTACCATTAAAAAATTGTTAGTTTGTCGATGTTTATTTTTAGAGGTCGCTCGAAAACGTAGGTACACTACTTTGAAAGTTAAAATAATTATGAGTGACCATTAGAAATTAAAATATCGATTTGAAATTTTCAGAATCGAGATTTTTTTCAACCTAGAAAATGATAAAATAACGAGAAAAAAAATTAAAAAAAAAGAAATTAAATTTTTGACGATTTTGGAAATTTTTTAAAATCTTTAGCAACCTCTAAAAAAATTTTTTTTTTGCTGATTATTTGAGGGGGCTTTTAAAACATGATGAACTAACATATTTTCATAAGAGACACGAAAAAAAAATATTCGTTTTTTTTGGGCCACATAGGCATTGTCGAAACTTGTAAAACTAATGTAAACACAGTCGCAAGAACGTTAAAATCCGATTTTATTATTCGGAATCGCTTGGAGCCACGCGAATAACGCTAGAGACTACAGTAGCCCAGCGAAGTAAGGGTTGAATGTACTATAACTTCAATAATTTTTTTCTCAGAAACTATAAGGATTTTACAAAACATTTTTTTCCGATATTGACCCCACTTTTCATGACGCATCTATTCCCAATTTTTTTGGATAAGTTGAGTCACCCTGTATATACAGAAATGTTTTGTTATTTATTATGCATTATGTCTTGAAAAAAGCTGCTATAAATTCAGGAGTTGATACAGCACGTCAAAAAATAAGATGATTTTCCTGTGGGCCATAGACCTGTATAATAAGTGTATAAATAAATAAAATATAGATAAATAAAAGATAGTCTGGGATAACGTTTGACATTTTCAGCATCCTCAAATATTTGTCTGTATAAAATTTTTAATGCAGTACATTGTATTTTTTAAAAAAGGAATCTAAAAATTTAATCTCTGTCCCGCATAGTCTATAGGAAAAAACTTAATTTTTTTATGATCTAATTGACTAAATTTATGGAATTTTTTATCAAAATAACCAATATTTAGCAGTCCTGTCACCTCCCCACAAGACAGTAAGAATGGATAATTTGTAAAATCTTGGTATTAAATACATATTTGAATAAATTTTAGATAAAGCAGAAAAAATATCTGCTAGCCATGAATCGAAGAGTCTTATGTTTTATCTTACAAATTTAAGATTTTCAGAATCGCTATTGGACAATCAAACACAAATATCGGTTTTCAAATGATTATCTGTGTTCCGTCTTTCGATTTTATTATAAAAACCTCTATGGGAAAAAATTACCAAGAAAAGACGAGCTATAAAAATTGTTCAAAAATTGATAATAATTTAAAAATAAATTACAAGAGACACTGCAAAGATTATATTAAATATCTACAAAATGTATATTTATTACCTACAAAATTACTACATGTTATACAGGGTGTATTGAAAAAAGTGCTAAATTTAAGGCCTGATAGAACTTCAAAAAATAAGTATTTTTTTTCGTATAGGCCATGAACCTGTTATCTTTTTTTTTGAGGTACTTACACTATGTCAAAGATTTTTTCTATTTTGAAGATTGATAACCTTATTATAAATTATGATATATTAAGGTAACTTGATCGAAATCAGTAAATTTTTTATGAAGAAAGCTGTCCCACATACTGTCAAAAACTTAACCTCAAAAAAGTTATAAACGTCACATGAAAAGGTCGTAGCTAGCGACCTCTAGCAGGTGGTCAAAAACTAACAGCACTGACGTATTTAACACCCTCAAAAACATATATGTGTGCCAAATTTTAATGGATTACATTGTTTTTTGGAAAAAATATAGCTATTTTTAACCATATTGCACGCTTTACATCTCAGAAACAGAAGAGTAGGCTCCTGGTCTATAGGAAAAAGTATACTTTTTTTTTTATCTAGGTACTCCTGAATTTATTATCTTTTCCATGGCACCCTGTAAAAAAAAGTTAAGGAACATAAGAAATCCTTTGAGAGACCGCATATTGTGCACAAGATAAAACTAATGCGGAGCACATGGAAATCCCGGAGGAAGAAATAGCTGGCGACGACGTCACGAGGGTGGATCGTTAGCATTCCGGGCAGTTGTTAACAAAGTTTTCGTTTCAGTTCCCCCCAAGGTTAGCCCCTTTTACGCCGAGGACACCCTCCACGTGGGCGACAGGGCCAGCCTGACGTGTTCCGTGACCAAGGGCGACCTCCCGCTGACCATATCGTGGCACAAAGACGGCCGCGCGCTGGAGCCGGCCCAGATGATGTCAATTACCCAGGTGGACCAATTTACTAGCATTCTAGTGATAGAGAGCCTGATGCAGGAACACAACGGCAACTACTCGTGCGTGGTGCGCAACCTGGCGGCCGAGGTGTCGCACACCCAGCAGTTGGTAGTCAATGGTAATTTGGCGCGAGCTCGAGCCGCGCGTTTTACTCTTTCTTTTCTATCTCTGATGTTTGTTTCTCTTGTTTTTCTCTCAGTTCCCCCTATAATTGAGCCCTTTTCCTTCCAAGACGGGCTATCGGAAGGCATGCGCACCCGTACCGTCTGCGGAGTTAGTAAAGGGGACCCACCACTAGTGGTGTCCTGGCTCAAGGACGGTCAACCATTGACGCCTAACCTGGGCGTCAACGTTTCAGCCCTTGACCCTTACTCTAGCCTCCTGAGCATTTCTAGCCTTGACTCGAGACACTCCGGCGACTTTACCTGCGTGGCCAGCAACCCTGCCTCAGAGGTTAGGTACACTGCGAAGCTACAGGTCAAAGGTAACAACCCGAGCCTGTCTCCCTACCGCCCGACCCTCCCCGCCCCCCCACACACCTTCCGTTGCTTTGGCACATGCGTCAACTGGACCCAGTGGTCAAGGTACTGTTGCACCGTCTTTTTTGTTCTTCTCTCACTTTCACCGATGTAGTATTTGGTTGGTGTTTTCTTGCATGCCATGACTTTGATTTTGTAGATCGATTTTTCCATATAGCATTTGGTGACCAAACGTAAGCGGCGGGTCCTTCCATCGGGCGACTATAAGCAATTGGACGTCATCTTTCGGAAAAAAATTGCAGATTCTCCTGACATCCTCTTACATTATTAATTTTGATGGTACACGTTGTGAACTTATAATCGCCCGCTCCTCTGTTGGACCCCCTACTAATTAAAACTGACATCCCATTTAAAAAAAATGACGTGGTCAAATGCTATATCAACTGTAGATGGCGACGCCAAACTGGATCGCCGCTTGATATGTTCACACCACCGCCACGTTTTAAGGAGATATTTTATGATTCCCTCACGAGTAATGCTTCTTGCAGCAAAACCAGTAACAAGTAGCAACCCCCCACTGGCAGAAAACCACAATAGTAGAGTTGGCGTTACATCAGTCGTTTTTGGCGCCCAACAAATATTTCTCTGAAATGTGGGAATTTGTTGGGCGCCAAATCGGCATGTGTATGTAAGATAGGCCATAGTTGAGCCATTTTCGGAAATTGGCAATTTTATCTCTCTTAGTAGACCATAGAAATTTTTGTAGTGCTTTAGGTATATGACTTTTTCCATTCATGCTCACAAAATTTACGTATATAGGGGCTGAAATGAATAAAATGTGATACAGGAATAGGGGAGCTACAGCGAAATAATTTACTACGTCAGAATCGTGAAATATATTACAGTTTTAATCTTGCCCGGGGTAGCAAATATATCACGCCATTTGACTTCGATCTAGGATGAAGTGAGTTAGGTAACTAATTTAATCCGGAGTACAGCACAATGGATGCATTTTTCTTTTCCGGCTCCTCATGTTCTTTTCTAACACAGTCGGTTATAAATGACAAATAACTTTTTCTTTTTCTGTTATTTCACCTTCTTGGTCAGTTTCTCTGTATCAGTCACAAATTGCAAATTTCCTTGTAATCTTCCACAGATTCACCTTCCACACCTTTTGATCTTTGCCATGGAATGTGGTGACCTTGAATTACTGAGATGCACCATCGATGATACATTAGAAACGACTGTTATATAAACATTATAAAATCATTAGTTGTGTGGGGTACAACTCAAAGATGGCAATGGAAGAAGTGTAACACCGCGAACTTTGGACAATTTATCCATTACATATTCCATGTATTTGGTTTTTCCTTTGTGTGCAATTACTTGCAATTGCTCTTTTATCATGGTGTCTTTGTAATCAATATGGTTTCCATACAACCATTCCAATATTCCTCTTTTTCTCCCTTCAGATATTTGCAATTTTTCTAGTCACTGACTGTGGTAAGGCTTATTATCTATGACAGTCGCTGCACTAGGTTCGATGTGAATTAAAACAGATGCAAACCATTTTTCAAATATCCGACTGTTAATATCCTCATGGCAATCTTGTTGTTAATTCTTATAAAAATGGTTCCCGCCTGCTGTTAATTAAATGCAAACCTTGGAGGTTGTATGTTCTTCATTGTCCTCATGGCGACGATATTATTTTTTCTAAAGGCTCTGTTTCTCAATTTCTTTTCTATTAGCACGTCTTTCTCGACACAGCTAAATTTTTCGAGGCAATCTAGACAAATCCCCGTCGTGTAATTTTTTTTTAATGTTGCAAGTTCATTTTCAAAATAAACACCGTAGTTCTTTCTACGGATCAAATACTTAACATTATTGTCAATTTCAATTGGTTTCCTGCCATGTATTTCGCTTTTTCCTTTTTACGTCACACACTAAACACTTTTATTTGAATTTTGTTGAAGAATTGCACATTTCTCACTAACATTTGCCTTCCTGATCATAACAACATCCTTGATCTATTAAATTCGTCTGTTTTCATTGTTAACAACACTTACTGGAATAACTAGAATGTGAAAATACTAACGCCTTTCCCACTTGTACGCTTATGACACGCACAGTCACGCGTCAGCTAGAAACTGACTCCTGCGGCCTATCTTACTAACGCCAAACGACCGTCTGTGCGTTTCGGCCTACCGGGCACCCACCAACCGTGTAGAGTGTGGTCAGTGTTCCACTAACTGCACCATTGCAATAATATCTGTGTGTCGCAGAGCCCAGGCACCGTCTCAGTTAACCCGGTGTTGTTCCAGTGCCGCCCAAGTGGCTCGTCGAGCCCATCGACGTCAGCGTCGAGCGCAACCGACACGTGGCCCTCCACTGCCAGGCGCAGGGCGTCCCGACGCCCACCGTCACCTGGAAGAAAGCCACAGGTCTCTTCATGCATTTGTTATTCTGTCACGTCTCGCCTATTACGGCGGGCGCCGCGGTCAGGGACGCTTTCTGATGGCAAGCGCGGCGGCCGGCTACTCTCCATTTTAAGGAGTTTGAAACGAAAGTGCCTCGGTCGGGCAGAAGTTAAGGTCCGACTTTCTACTTTAGAGAAACAACACGTTCTGTTGTCCGATTAATTTTCTGTTGCACCCCAGAAGGAGAAAATATATTATAATTGCTAAAGTTTAAATGACATTTAGATTTTTGGAAAAAAAGCATTTTAGCCTTGTTTTTTTTTAAATAATCCACAAAAACTGCTGTACTTGAATATTTCCCTGCAAAATATTTCACGATATCTTGCAAAAAACAAAAATACGGTCCTGGAATGTACGATTCGCACGCGGACCTTACAATACTCGAGGCATCACCGATAGTCTTTTTTTTCTCTCGTTAAAGAGAGAATCTCGCACTTGTTCGAGCTTGCCAGCTGAAAACCGTCCCGTTCCTCGGGGCCCGAACATTAACAAAGGTTCGCCGGCTGAGGTGATCACCGAGGATTATCAAAATTTATTTGTTTTCGTTTAGCCAGTAAGTCCGGGGATTACGAGGAGGTGCGGGACCACATGTACACGAAATTGCTGGGAAACGGCACGCTGCTGCTGCAGCACGTCAAGGAGGACCGCGAGGGATACTACTTGTGCCAGGCGGACAACGGTATAGGGACGGGCATCGGGAAGGTCATCCAGCTGAGGGTCAACTGTAAGTAATTTAATTAGTCGGCTTTATAGCCGGGGTCCCTTAGCCCTTAATAAAATGCGGTTTCTTCGACTTGCGTTAAAACGCGTGTGACGTAAACCTGTACTTAATGGGCTTATTCAGTAATGTTTAAAATATAAATTGTTTTTACGTTTTTCGTTAGCTCTTAACCCGCAAAATACGGTGAAAATAAACAGGTCGATAGGTTTAATAACGCAGGTCAACATTTGATCTAGGGATAATCGTCAGAAGTGACTATGATGGTATGTAGAGGTTTATTGGGTCGCTGATTACGAAACCGAGGTCGGTTTAGCTCTGCCACATCAGGTTCAAGGTGATCTGAGGGTCAAATCAAGAAATGACCTCCAAAAAATCAGAAAAAAATCATACTTATGTTTTAGAGGTCACTGAACCCGAATCCGAGGTTTGTTTACCCCTACGGTACACCCTAGAGATCATTCAAGGTCATTTCAAAGTCATTCATGAAGTATTTTGTATAGAAAAGTTAAAATCAGTCTGAAAAATCTGAGAAAAAATCGTCTGAATATTTTTGAGGTCACTGAACGCGAATCCAAGGTTATTTAAGCTCAATCACGTCAGGTTCAAGGTGATTTGAAGGTTAAATTTGGAAAAAGTTGTGTAAAAAATTTAAAAAGTTTATTAAAGTGTTTTCGGGGTCACTGAGTTGATCTGGAGGCTATTAAAGGTCTTCAAAGAGTTTCCGTATGTCTACGTATAACCATTTACACGTTTGTATGGAAATATAGTCTCTTTTTCTGATGGTTTACTTTCATTCTGCTGTTGAGCTGATTAAGAAAGTTGGCATATGACTATTCTATACGTTGGCACTGTCAAAATCAATCGCAAGGGATTTACTTGACTCAAAATTTAATTAGAAACCATGACAAGGATAACGTTCCTGAGTTGATCAGTATTTTTATTAAATAACCTTGGATTCGCGTTCAGTGTCTCAGAAACATTCAGACGAATTTTTTCAGATTTTTCAGACCGACTAACTTTTCTATCCAAAATACTTCATGAAATAACCTTGAATGACCTCTAAGGTGTATCGTAGGGTTAAAAAGCCTCGGATTCGGGTTCAGTGACCTCTAAAACATAAGCATGAATTTTTTCAGATTTTTTGGAGGTCATTTCTTGATTTGACCTTCAAATCACCTTGAACCTGATGTGATGGAGCTTAACCATAGTCAATTCTGACGATTGTCCCTAGATCAAATGTTGACCTGTGTAATTAATATTAACCTTGATAAATAATTTCTGATTCGTAAGAGCATCTGTGTGAACGCGATATTAGTTACTGTCTCAAAAGTTATTTATTTGTGTTATAGTTTTAGTTTTTCCCCCTGTTTATTGGTGTTTTTCCATCTGTGACAAAAATACAAAAACCAGTTAAAGAAATCTTTACGCCAAAAGTGTCGAGGGTAATTTTTATTAAGTATTTCTGCCTAAGCAAAAATCGCACACTGACAATAGCAGACAAGTAAAAAGAATAAGGATCAATATACAGGGTGTGCCAACACTCTCGCTGCCAATATCTCCGAAATTAGGAAATTTGTTTTAGTTCCCGAAATTGGGTTTGTTGTCCCTCGAATATACCTGTTTGGTAGTGACGTCACATATGCCAAATATTAAGCAACCCCACAGTGCACATTGTCATGAATAATTCGACCTTGTACTTGTACTTGTACTTTGTACTTTGGAAATAAGTATCAGAAAAATGGCTTCTTTGTCATGACCTTAAATATCGCTATATTCTGGCAATACGTATTAGAAATATTTAAGAAGTTTCAAACCCCAAGTAACAAACTAATAGAATTATAGAATTTATATATTTAAATTTATACAGGGTGTTTTAGAAAACATGGACAGATTCCTAACCTAAAAACAAGATTATTTTTTCATATCAACATGGGTCCAATTTCGCTTCATTCCTTATAGGCGAGCGGTTCACCCCTAAAAAAGGCATGAATCGACTAAATTTTTAAAACAAAAACCTACAGCGTGCAACTTTTTTAATTTTATAAAGTTTTTATCAAAGAACAAAAAGTGTTTATTTTGGTCCATTTTATAATAAAAACCTATTTTCAAAGCCATTCGGTGAGTAATTTTTTTACAACTTTTTTTTATAACAATTGACGGACCACGCAGAAAAATATAAAAAAATATGTAAATTATCACAAAAATACACTTTATAAAATAAAAAAAGTTTCATGCTGTAGGTTTTTGTTTTAAAAATTTAGTCGTTTACCTTCATTTAGAAGCATCTTTTTAGGGGTGAACCGCTCGCTTATTAGCTACAGGATGTCAAAGTTTTAAAATAAAATTAGTTCTTTTCCGGGAATCTAGATTTCCACTTGAGGGAATTAAATGAAATTTGAACAACTAACTATTTACAACCGAATACACATTGCTAGGTATTATACAGAAATTTTGCTTAGAAAAAATACCCTCATTCTTTTTCAGTGTCTCGAATCGGACGTGAAATCCGATTCACCCTGTATATCACATCGCAGAAACCGCTACACCAGATCGCTGTCACAAATCCAAACAAATACTAATTTTTATCCCGTTAACAACTCCATAGAATTACTCAGAGCTATCGCATTAGAATTTGCAACGCAAAATCCCCGATCCTCCCTCCCCTGCCCCTTGGGCAGGACGGATCCCGATCCTCTCTTTTTTAATTCCGAGGCTCTGGGCCAGCTTCCAGTCGGTCCTAATTAATCCCTCATTATTTCAGCCTCGCCGTACTTCTCCGCGCCCTCGCGGCTCGTCACCGTCAAAAAGGGAGACACCGCCCTTCTGCATTGCGATGTGAACGGGGACAAGCCGATCAGCGTGATCTGGCTGAGGGGCGGCAAGACCGAACTCAACCCGTCCACCAACTACAGGGTGAACGTCAAGCAGGACGTCACGCCGGACGGGGTAAGTGTACCTATGCGTGTTCCAACGATATAGGCCAGGAAAATAAGCTGGGAAATGATCATTTCGCGACTTTTTGTTCTGGCAAGCTGAATTTATCACTATAGATGTTAAATATTATGTACAATAACATATTAGTTCCCACAGTCATAAAAATGGGGGGAGATTGTTTACAGGGTGGTTAATTGTATAATTTTTACGTAAATTCACGTTTTTCGCTTATAACTTTTTTCTGTTCGTTCCCACGAGAAAACAGTAATGTACTTTTTTTTCGTCTTCAAAAGACCTACAAAACTAGCCCTCGAGCGTCAAAAAATATTGATTAGATCAAAAGTTATAAACAGAAGAATTTTATTTATGACGTTTGAATTAAACATTTATAAACTGCGTTATTATTACCAGAACGTTTTGACATCGCATCCTCTTATTCCTTATCACTGTCTAATAACACGAAATCTGGAATCGGTAAGTTGAATAGTTTACAAATCGGTCAATAAATAACAATTTTACATGGGTGGCTAATGCTTAAGTGGGACACACTGTATATTCGATAAATTTTAACTTCCAAAAATATATTACGAAATTTGGATCTGAAGATGGAGAACGCCCAACTCATGAATATTGGACGTGCCAATGAGGTTTAAACGAATATCGCGATTCCCAGCCGCGCCAGCCCGAAACGAGCACAAGAGACATCAGTAGAAGTTGCCGTGGGTGCGGTTGAATGTCAACCCTGGGTATCTGCAGTTCTTTAAGCAGAGACGGTGTCCCGGTTAGAGTGAGTACTCGACTCGCAAAAAACAAAGTTATCTGAAGTTCACCTAACTGCATTGTTTTAACCAAAACAAATATTATAATTTAGTCTTTAAAGAAACTAATTATAGTTATAAATTACTAAAAAAATTATGCAGCCGCAACATTACTTAACGTTTGTTGCAGGTATCCGCCGAATTGCAGATTGTCAACGCTGACGCCAAGGATAGCGGGGCGTATTTTTGCCAAGCCAGCAATATGTACGGGAGGGATCAGCAGCTGGTACAGCTGCTGGTCCAGGAACCTCCGGGTCCGCCTCAAGGCCTGGAGGCGGCTATGATAAGCAGCAGATCCGTCAACTTGAAGTGGCTTCACAAATCCGGAGACTCCAACGAAGTATTCAAGTTCGTCGTCGAATATAAAGAGGTGGATAGTAAGTAGTTCTTCATTTAATATTTAACACAAGAGGACCATTCAATGTATTTGAAAACATGGGCTTATTTTAAAGAATTGTTTTTGTCGTCAGTATAACTTCTTAGGCCATAAAACTGGTTTGCGCTATTTAAGATAAAAGTTTGCAATAGGTAATGACGGATTTTGAAATCAAATAATGCCTTAGAAGATTAAATATCAGTATTTATATCCGGTGAATATTGTCAAATATCGAGATGAAAAGATGTCAGTACCTAAGTTGGATAACCAGAAACGAATTCTGAGAATATTGCTATATGAAACCGTATCATGTTTCTAAAAACTAAATGTAAAAAATCAATTCTGACATGATCACCAAGTCTGCCATTTTCAATCATTTTTTATCAACCATACTTTCACAAAGTGTAGCCGCCACACGTAAATGTAGTTAAAATCATTTTAACTTCAAACGGGAATACGGCCCAACAGAAAAAAGGGGTAAGGAATCGAGTACAGCAGCTGACTGGTTGAATTTAAGTGTAGCGCGCTACAGTTCTGTGAACGAAGCATTAGCCCGTACTAGCTCTATCTCACTCGCACACGTCTGTGCGATTGCCGTTTGTATTGTTAGTTGGGCCGGTCCAGTAGTTTATAAGGTCTATGATACTACTGAGTGCGTTGTTTCTTGTTTCTGTCAAGTGGTCAATAGACAAGCCCCACGAATTGCACATGCTATTTTTAATTACGAATGCGGTGAAATTTTTTTGGGAAATAGGTAATCTACGACTTCTTTGGCTGTTTCAATTACCTCCAATGGTGTAAATTCATTGTCCGTGTCTGGATCACTTTCTGGTACAATTGTAGGACTTCTAATCATGTTTTCGCAGAATTTAATTAATTTATTTTCAGATTTTTATTCAGTTTAGGTTGAAATTAATATTTATGACTGTCATTTAAATGTCGCTTTCGAAAAAATAATATTTTCGAGTGTTTTCTTTTAGTTGCACTAATGCAAACAATTAAAGGGTGGAAAGAATTTCCAAAATTCCAGATAGCTTGTTTATTCAGCTTCAATTTCCTTTTTTTTTAATTTCGATACGACCATTTTTTATTGAAATATCGTACTTTTAATGGAAAGAAGTGGATCTTATTTGTGGAAGGGCGAAATGGGCGGTGACTATTGAACGCCTTCATCATAGCCATCTTTCTCTATCACACGGATTTCTATGACTTTCTTTATCGCTCTCACGTAACAGCCGATGAACTATGGGGACTTTCCGACCCTGTATATGTATTACATGAAAGATAAGAAAAATACAAATATTTATTAAACAGAACTAGAAAGAGGTGCTAATAATTAAATACTAATTCACTTTTCCTACAACACTTTATTATACTGTGAAATAAGAAACAATAGTAGTTACTACTTGACAGTTACAATTTATTAAAAATTTTATTATGCTAAAGCCGGTAAATCTAAATATTACCACCATATTGAAGCTACTTTAGTGTTTATTGAAATAGATAGATACTTAATATTAAATTGTGTGCAATTAAGGGTAATACAGGTGCAATATATTAAATTATTTGTGCATTTGTTATTTATGTGACAATTTGGCTTCGTCTAATTTTCGTACATTTGGTGCATGAAAGTGGCGTATGTGTAAGTTGCCTTCAGTATCTGAAAAAACAGTTTTAAACACTGGAATTACATTCGAAAACATTGATAGCTGCCATAAATGTTTAAATCCTTTTTAATTTTTTTTTAATAATGAACGTTTTTCGATGAAGAAAATATGGAATATTGCTAAAAAAAATTACTTATTACCTACATTAATTTTCAGCAAAACCGACAAATTTAAACATTCTGGACAATAAGAAAAAAAAATCGCAGCGTTTTGAAATTATCAGGGTTTCTTTAGGACACTTTGAGGTTGAAAAGTTACAGTCAATATCCTTAGTTTATTCATTGTTTGCAAAGTCATGCCAAGTTATTCAAATATCCCTAATTATGCAATTTTTTTAATTTTTTCTAACCAACATTTTCACTTCGAAAAAAATTTATTTATCAAAAACCAATCATTACGACTTGTAGAGAAGTCCATAGGCCTTTTTAAAGAAAAGCAAAAATTTGCAATTTTTTTTTTTCGTTGATTTTCTTATGATTACTCAAAAACTATCGATGCTAAAAAATTTTAAACTAGATCCGAAATCTAGACACTTGAAGCTTCAATTTCCTTTTGTACGAATATACAGAGTGATGATAAAAAAATTAAAAATTGAATGAATACAAACCTCTGCCCTTAATTAACGTTAATAGTAATAATAAAAAATAACAAGCTAATAAATTATAACTGAAACGACATTTGAGAATAAAAAGATTTATTGAAACACTCCACGCAGCATAAGACTTACCTTTCCAGCTAGGTCCAAAGTCACAGTCCCAAAAGGGCCAGTTGTAAGTGTGAGTGGTGTTTGAGACCGTATCATCATAATGTGAAGAGATATTACATCGCTTTTATCGTATTCGAACCATGGTAGTTGATAAATAGAATCAGATATGCCAATACTCTATAAAAATAAAACTTGTTTTTATTCATATTTTAATTGAAAACTTGACGGTATTCTAATAAGTCAATCAAAAGCTTTATATTATTTTTAAATGCTATAAATTATACCAATATTTGAGGGGACATATTGTGCTTATACCTCTTCCCTGATTTGATCGGCGTTCCAACATAATATCAGTATGTTTATTAGTACATTAACAGTGACACTTCCAAAATATATCTTCGAATTTGGAGTATTTGTCTGAAAATACATAAATCAGAATTAAAAACTAATTAACGTGTTTAGAAACCGTGCTGGTATTTTTTCAGAAAAATGGAAGATTTTAATTACATATTCACTTAATAAGAGAACTTGTTTAACTTTCAATACATATTTACCGTAACAAGCAGGAAAATAGAGAGGGCGAGTCGGAGAGATGCAAATAAAAATTCCATTAACATCACATATTTCACAGTGTCATCCACATGTTTGCAGTTCCTAAAATAATTGATTTAGGTATTAGTCCAAGGGCCAGAGGCCAAAAAATTTTTTGAATTTACTGAACCTAGTTTTTTTATAGTTGATTACACAGCCACACAAAAAAAAGTTGTCTGCACTTTTCATGCGAGATATCCGTAGTATTTTTGCCTCATGATCCGGTGTCAGAATTGAGCTATCACATCACAGGAATTTCCTAACCTCAAAAAACAGGTTGAAAATAGCAAAAATTCACGAAAAAGTGCTAGGAAAAATAAAAAAATTTTTTTTTTCTATATTCAAATGTTCATTTATATGGTTAAGACCCCTCCGGACTTGAATCCGCGGTTGGAATTGATGGTTCTTTTTCTAACCTCAAAAAAAAAACGGGTTAAGGTCCAGATATCACGAATTTTCAAAAAATAACAGATTCGCGCCAAATTTGGTTTACGGAGGTTTTCGGGGTCGCTGATCACGGATCCGAGGTCAATTTTGCAAAAATCAAGATGGCGGATCCAAGATGGCCGACCAAATCTTGAAAAAATAACATATTCGCGCCAAATTTGGTATACGCGGGTTCTCGGGGTTATACAGGGTCGTTGAGTTATAATCCGAGGTTAGTTTGTCTGTATCAGGTCATTTAAAGGTCGTCTCAAGGTCATTTCAATATCAAATTGAAAAAACCGAGCAATTAAGTTTAACCTCCTGTTACATAGGTTTTTGGGATAGCTGCTCTCTTGTTAATAGTTTCCATATAAAAACTTCTCGCAATTAGTTACCTCCTATACATTATTGTCTTCATTTCACTACTAAACCCGTTTTGTAAAAAAAATACTTTTTAACATTTCTGTCATTATTTCTCTTCTGAATCTTTCTGCAAATAATTATTCTACAAATAATCCCTATTATTTTTTTTTTCAATTTATTGAGTTATATATTGCATTATTTTCAAAAGCTGAAATTCATTTAATGGATGTTGATAAAAATAACCCATCTGATTTAGTCGAACAAAATGCCGAGATCCCACTCAGTGAATTTATTCAGCTTCCATTTGGACGTAAATTAACTTTCAAATTACCTTAAAATGGCCTTCAAATGACCTGACCCAGAAAAACTGACCTCAGATTTGAACTCCTAAGTCAATATCTTTAGAACTCTTTGAAATAATTAATGAAAATAAATAAAAAATTAGAATTGAAACACTCTGTATCTCAAAAACGAAGCATATTTCGACCTACATTTATATGAACTTTTTTCACGAAATAACTTCGGCAACCACCCTATAAAATATTTCGCATTTATTTACAAACACGCTGTATGCAATATAGAACTTGTATAACGATTTAATAAATTAATTTTATTGCCTCGCTAAGTACGACAACTTTGATAGTGTAGTGACACATCTGTTCTTGTTTCTTGTTTCGCTTGACTGAGTATGTTTCGTATATTCAAACAATTTGTTTGCCTCTGGTTCTCCGTCTATAATATTGGATGTATATAATATTGCGTTGAATTTAAAGTAATCATCATTGTTCTTGTATTTCTCTTACCTTATTAGGTCTATATGTTCTTTAGCATAAATCCGGATAAATCTTTTGGCATCAAGCGTCTCAATATCCTTCATATTTTCTATTCTTGCTCTTAATATCTTTAGTCTTAAAATGACAACGAGCAGCAAATTAATCAAAATAGTCTGATAGCTGCAATAAATGCAAGTCACTATTAAAGTGTAACAAGACTGAACGAGTAGCCACACTAAATATTGCTTGCTTTCCTCAAATGGTATCCATAAATCGTAATTATGCGTATTTATCGTAGAATTGGTACTCTCCTCCGAAGATTCTACTAGTGCGTATTCAACAAAAGCAGGGACGACAAAAGCTATAGAACAACTGGACAATATTGATATATAATACACCTGGAGTGTTCTGCACTTTTTGACTACTTGTTCGTGTATCTTCAAATGTTTTTCGGTTCCGACGTCTAGCACCTCTGCTTCATATGCGATCATCTCATATATTAACTTTTGAAAATTTCCTGACGTGGTTATTGCTAAGTTCACGTATGAAATCATAACGAAGATTCTGTCATAAATGTAATTAAACAGCGTCCGATCGAACCCGTCAATGTTCATATTTCCACCTAACCAATAAATGCCTGCTAAGGATACAAATGTATGCGTTACGTATCGGTAGAAAATATATATGCGTTTGCGTGAATTAATTAAATCGACTGGAAGAGTACCTCCAATTATCATTAAATGTTTAATATAAAGCAGGAAAGGTGAATCCATTTCCTAAAAAAAAACGTAAAATTTGTAGTTGTTTACCTAGGTATAAAAGATTGATATAAACAAATAAAAACTTGTTTTGAACACAAGATTAAAAAAACAAGAAAAAGAAACAAAGTTGGCCGGTCAAATTGACACTTTTTATTCTCAACGACATTTCTCAGTAAATACTTTTGATATTTTTAAAAACAAAGGTGGAAATTAGTGTGGGAAAGTACAATAACTCCCTTGTTATTGATATTACAGAAAAAACACCCTGGATTTCTGAAAAAATTCTATACATGGCAATATAAACAGTTTAACATTTTAGTGCAGGGTTGCCAAGTTATGTAGAAAATTCTTAGAATTTTGGAAAAACAAACCTCGAAGAAGTTGTATTAACTTTCAACGACTAACACTTGGGGCAAAAATATTTGACAGAGTTATAGGCAAATGTTAGACAAAGGCTCCTATATTAGCTAAGATCGACATTTTATAAAGGACATTTTTTATAATAATAATAAACTTTCTCACACTAATGGCCCACCTTGTATATGTATAGGTATATAGAGATTAGGGTGGCCTAAAAAAAAGAATTATTTTTTTCGTGTCTCTTGTGAAAATATGTTAGTTTATCATGTTTTAAGAGCCCCCTCCAAAAATCAGTTAAAAAAAATTTTTTTAGAGGTCGCTCAAGATTTTTAAAAATGTTCCAAAATCGTCAAAAATTGATTTTTTTCTCGTTATTTTATCATTTTCTAGGTTGAAAAAAATCTCGATTCTGAAAATTTCAAATCGATATTTTAATTTTTAAAGGTCACTCATAATTATTTTAACTTTAAAAGTAGTGTACCTAAAATGTTATAAATAAATATCAACTAATAATTTTTTTATTGAATTTGATGAACAAAAGAACATAAATAAATCACGCGACACTTAAATTTTTAAAAATTAAAAAATTATAAATATTTGATACTCAGTGCGGTAGTAAACTTTGCCTCGAGAAATTTTTTAAGTGTCTCGTGATTTATTTCTATTCTTTTCATCAAATTCAATAAAAAAAAATATTAGTTCGTTGATATTTATTGTTAGAGGTCGCTAGAAAACATTTTAGATACACTACTTTTAAAGTTAAAATAATTATGAGTGACCTTTAGAAATTAAAACATCGATTTGAAATTTCGAAAATCGAGATTTTTTTCAACCTAGAAAATGATAAAATAACGAGAAAAAAAAATTTAAAAAAAATCAATTTTTGACAATTTTGGAAATTTTTAAAAATCTTGAGCGACCTCTAAAAAATTTGTTTTGAGCTGATTTTTTGAGGGGGCTCTTAAAACATGAGAAACTAACATATTTTCACAAAAGACACGAAAAAAAATAATCGTTTTTTTTTGGGCCACCCTAATAGAGACTAACCCAAAATTTTTAAATGATAAAAATATACTAGATTACAGCTGGGCAAAATATTTCAAAATGTATTTAAAATACAAATTACAAAATACTAGTACGAAAGTATTTTAAAATGCTAAAAAACAAAATACTTATTTGGCAAAGTATTTTAAATATGAATTTCTTAAAAATAGCCACTAACAGTATTTAAAGTATTTTTGTGAAATAGTAAATCTGAAACTCATAAGTGTGATTTAAAAAAATATATTGTATGTGCAAGGCAAGCCCGATTTCAAGATCAAAAAATTAAAAAAAAACTAAACATAAGTCTGGAAACAATAATTTTCATTTGTAATATTGAGAAGCAGAATATTTAATTCATTCATAATTTTTTATTAGTTTTTCTTAGAATAGCCCACCAATGATAAATTAATTTTAAATTTTGATGATTGACTACAAGATTTTAAATACTTTTTAAAATACAAAATACTTTATTAGTATATGAAATATAAAATATTTTTGGGTTTATAACGAAAGCGGTTTAATTACAAAGTACAAAATGCTATTTTATATTTAAAATACTATTTGGTATTTTTTTTTTTTTTGGCAAAATACTCCCAGCTCTGATCTAGAAAAATCCACCTAGGGTAGAATATCTACCATAGACAGCGTACCAATAATACTGAATAGATGGAAAGTAAATGGACAGTAGAAAAAGAAAGTTAAAAGAAACAAGAGGAATAGAAAATGTGAATATACCAAAAAAGAAAATACATATAAAGAAATTGTAAAATCCAACATTTTTTATTTACCTCTTTGACAAATCCAACTGCACTTATGTACGTCTAGTCGAAATCACTTTACAAGAGAAGCATCAAAACAAACAATATATACCTATGTCTCTTATGAATTTTTAAAGACTGCAAATACAAATTGCAGTTCATCCAGGTAGACAATAATTGTAGGTGTAAGTGGTAAACCTTATGTGTGTACATATTTTATGAGAAAGACACAGAAGTGTTGGAATTATGGATTAATAATTGCATTTGATTGTCACAGTAACAATTTTTTGCATTTCGAAATCAGTAAATAACATGCTGGTTAGGGCTGAAGATAATACAAATTAATATCACCTAGTTTTAGCGTATAATTTGTGAATTATTAAATCAGGTACACGTAAGCAAGTGAGAATTATTTCTACTCATAATAATGCATGATTCTTAGAAGACTGTAATCATTCTTTACTGTAAGTAGAATGATTAATAGTTTAACACATGTATATTTTTAATACGTAGTATTTGTAAAAGTACTACTTCTACTAAAAAAATAGTCAAAAAAGTAAAAACAAAATCTCATTTTTTGCTTTTTTAAAATTGTTTATTAACGATTTTTTGCGTAAAATGTTTCTTTTAAATTTTTTAAATAAGCTATTTCGATCGCTCCTAAATTGCGCCGCTGTTCCTGCACTTTAGGATCTTGGCATCAGATAGAATTTACGGAAAACCCGCTGCCCTACGCCGCTCTCATAGAAGATCTGAAACCGGCCACGAAATACACCTTCCACGTCATCGCCGAAGGCCCTGCCGGGAAGAGCGCCCCCAGCGAAGACCTCGTGTTAAGAACCGAACCTCAGAGGCCAGCGGGATCACCCTTGAATCCTTCCGCGCGACCCATCTCCTCCACGGAAATATTGGTCATCTGGTCGCCTCCCTTACCGGAACTTAGGCATGGGGACATCCAGGTGAGCGAAATATACAATGTCTATGTCAAAACTTCCGCCGTTTGTTCCTTGGATATTTTAACTGAAAGTCTTTGATATGCTGGGGGTTTAAAGATGAAGGTTTTTATATGGGATCAGTTTGAACGTTTTTGAAAAACACATTGTTTTCTTCAGAAAAGAGTGATGATTGTTTCGTCTGGTCGGTGTTTTTATATTTGCTGTTTTTGTTATTTTCTCCTTTATTTTACTGTTGATTTTGTTCTTGCCACTGATTTTTTTTTGTTATCGTTTTCACTTAAGTTTTTAAATTTTTACTAAACTGGTGCACTTTAATTTAAATTTATACACGGTTCAGAAATAACGGTATTTTCGTATAAGTTTCTATGACAATTTTTTTGAACAGAATATATGTAGATACAATCTCAAAGTTGATCTTTTTAAATTCGTGTTTTGTTATAACTTTCTTCGGTTAAGCGACTTTTTTTTAAATTTGATACACTTTTCATTCAAATTCTAGAGCTTTAAATCTTAAATGACATATTTTGAATAGAAAATTGATCATAATTTTTGTCTGAGATTTTCCAAAAAATTAAATAGGTTACTTAGGTACTTTCAATATTATAAAAAAAACAATAAATTTCAGATTATGTAACCCCTTTTGATATTGAGTTTTCAAACAATTCACAGGAATTTATATCATTATTATTATTATTATAAATCACCCTTATACAGGGTGTTTGGTAAGTCGATGCATTCCTTGCAGGAGGCTTTAGTACAAGTGATTTGTGATATATTTCCTTAATATACTATATTCCGAAAACGCTTAGTTTCCGATCTACAGGGTGTTAAAGTTTTAATAAAAAAATGCAGATTTAGAAATATTGCGGAAACCGCTCAAAATATTTTAATGAAATTCTACAGGCTTTGACAGTGAACAACAAAACGTGTTTTACGATAAAAATATTGTTTTCAGTTTCACCAGTGGCGTGCACACTGGCACGTCTCTAAATATTGTCAAAGAAAAAAATCGTTTGTTCAATTTGGAAGAGAAAAGGTATCTTGACTGTTGACGCACCGTTTCGAGTAAAAAAAATAAAATGGATTTATTGTATGGCGTAATTCGCTTTCAATAATTTGAAAAATTACAGAAATTATGCACTTAACTGCTTCACACTCAAACACTCAAAGTGACAGCTATTATTAATTCTGTCAAACAATAACAAGAACGAGTGCACAGCCAACTTACTAATTTCTGTTTAGATAGTAAATGGTGATTCTAAAAACATAAAAATTTTTTAGACTGATGTTAACTGCGAGAAATAATACCTAATTTTTTGTAATAAAATTGGTACAAAAAAATGCTGAGTGTATAATTTTTGCTATTTTTCAAATTATTGAAACCGGATTACGGTTATAACAAAATTGGATAAAGTCAAGTATCTTGAAAACGAAGCATCTGCGGTCCAATGTTTATATGAACTTTTTGCCTTAAAATCACTCAAATAATAGTCTGCTGAATTTATTGTACAGACTTAATTAACATCCTGTATATTTTTCCTTATTTTCTTCCGGACATACTAATGGTACTCTTAAAAAATGGTACTGTAGTTTGATTTACGGTTTTTCTAGCTGTTGCATGCATTACAAGGTGTCTCAAATGTCAAAAATAAAAATAAATAAATGCCATTTTGAATTTAGTAATTCTGACTTCAAATTCGCAATCAGCGACTCCGAAAGACTAATCAATTTTAATAAACAATTTTTCGAATAAACATTGGAATAATTCAAAGTGGATTTCGTTAAAGAAGAACCATAACGAATTTCGTGAAGAAAAAGAAAGAGCCGAAGTAATAAGAACATTACAATTAAAAAAAATCACAACTGCCCACCACTTTTTTTTAAATAAAAACGGTTTCGCTTGTGGTTATTGTGGAATAATACGTTTCTCTCCTCAGGGCTTTAACGTGGGCTACCGCACGGCCAGCATGGGGGCCTACAATTTCACGTCGGTGACGGGGGACGGCGAGGACGGCGGCGAATTGCTATTAGGAGGGCTGGCGAAGTACACCAGATACACCATAGTCGTTCAGGCGTTTAATGAGGTGGGAGCGGGGCCGCTGTCCGAGCCTGTTACGGCGCAGACTATGGAGGATGGTAAGCTTACGCGTCCCATTTAATTAGGAACATCGCGGCTACCCCGCAGCTCCTGGAATTAATTTATACAAAGTTTGGCCAGCTTTTGTATGAATTTATTATTTTTTCTTTTATCCTTAGCCTTTCAACTCAAATCTCCGATCGCGATGCCGCAGCAGTAGTTTGACGACACTCCCCATAAATTAATATTTGTTTATCTTCTTTCAAACTGATTTTTTTTCATTTAAATTCATGTAGGTACTATGGCTAATACCTATAATTCACTTAAACAGGACATTTTTCCGTTCCGAGTAATATCACAAAGTAACATGTCAGATAAACTTTTCGTTTTCGTGTATTGAATCATTATTGGTAATCTAAGCAGGGCGCCATCTTTTAGCTGAAACATTTATAATTACATTTTCAGTTCCGAGCATGCCCCCCGAAGACGTTAGATGTGCCGCTCTCACCTCCCAGTCCCTCCAGGTCAGTTGGCAGCCACCGCCAACGGAGCACTGCAACGGACTCCTGCAAGGGTACAAACTCACCTATGAACCTGTCCTGGACGACAACTGGAGAGGTATGTCAAAATTGAAACTGTAAGATTATTGTAGAAAGATTTTATTATTCAGAAACATTTTTTTCTTATCCCTGAATTGTTTTCTTCGTTTATATTTTTTGTTGTTTCATTTGTACTTTTGTTGTTTTTCGCATTTTTTTTTGTTACGAATTATTTTAGACAAAAATGAACAATAATGTTAACGTCCTGTTTTTTTATAAATACTTACCTACATTTTTTGATATTTTTTTGTTATGTCAAATATTTTGCATAGGTACACCAATTTTACGGCATATTTTTTTTTAAACAAGTATGAAATAGACAGTCGAAATTAGTATTTCTTATATTGTTATTTAAATATGGAAAAACTTGAATTTAAATCATTTTTCTATTTTAATTTTTTGAGGCAACGACGAAATGGAAACGAGGAAGACAACAGCACTAACAACAGTGATCACCGGATTGAGAAAGTTCACCAACTACAGCCTGCAAGTGCTGGCTTTCACTAAAGTCGGCGATGGGGTTTTCACCATCCCGTCTTACTGCCAGACGGAAGAGGATGGTGAGTGAGTTTTTAATTTTTCCTCTTCCTCTCTTTATTAATTTTGTATATTCCTTTCGGTCTCTCCATTTCCTTAAAAATATTATTTAACCGGGACCTATTCGTGTAGTGCCCGGTGCTCCCGCCGATATCAAGGCCGTGGTGAGTTCCCCGCAGTCGCTGAAGGTCTCGTGGCTTCCGCCCCTCGATCCGAACGGGGTGATAACGAAGTACAACTTGTACCGGAGGAACATGGACGGTCGGCAGGAGGTGGACAATGCCAAGCAGACGATCTCCAGTCAACACACCGTTTTCGAGGTGAAAGGGATCCAGTCGCACATCGAATATCAGTTCTGGGTGACGGCTTCCACGAGGATAGGGGAAGGGCAGAGTTCGAAGGTGGTTTCTCAGGTGGCTACGCCGAGAGGTAAGGGTGGCTCTTGCTTTTCCTTGTAAAAATTTTAATGTCAAAAAACGCATTTCAAAGACTCGATTTGTTTATTTACAAAATTTTTAAGTGTAAAAATTGTTTTCTCGCTAAAACTATTTCGATTCATTTTTTTTAAATCGTTTCGATGTTCGTAGTAGTTTTGGTGCATGTCTCTGGCATTGACCTTTGACACCGAAACCTTTAACTTCTGTTGGATTTTCGAGGTATTTCAATAAGTTTTCAAGGAAAGTTGAAGATTTTAAAAGTTTGACCTTGACCATGACCTTGAAGGTCATTTAGAGGTCAAGCTGAAAATTTCAACTGGAACCGTATATTTTTGACCCCAAAAATGGAAAGAATGGAAATTTTTATGGATATGACATTGACCATGACCTTCAAGGTCGTTTACAGGTCAAGTCGATTTTTAATATATGACCCGATGTTCTTCGCTCTTTTCATTTACGGGGTCAAGGGTATACAGTTCCATTAGAATTTTCAACTTGACCTCTAAATGACCTTCAATGTCATGGATAAGGATTCGAACGTAAACTTTTCCGCTCTTACCATTTCCAGGGTCAAAAGTATACGATTCCATTTAAAATTTTCAACTTGACCTCTAAATGACCTTCAAGGTCATGGTCAAGGTCACCGTTGGATTGCTCACTCAAAACCATGCAATTTCTGTCCTAATCATTTTTTTGTTTGAGAAGTACTTTCTGAGATAGGAGGGAGTTCCAAACCTTTTGAACACCCTGTATAATTTGAAAGTGATTCGATTAATTTTACCGTTTTTCGCTACAAATTTGAGGAATTTTTATGCAATCTAAGGCTGGTTTAATTCATTTTTACGCTCTCTGAAGCCGTTTCGGTTTTAACAGCTCTGTTATTACAGTCCCAGCCCGGATAATTTCCTTCGGAGGTGTCGTCGTACGTCCATGGCGTAGTTCCGTCGCCTTCAACTGCGAATCTGTTGGAACGCCCAGGAGGGAATGGCTCCGAAACGAACAATTACTCAAGGTAATCGATAGAAACGCCAACGATGGTTGCAAATAAACGTCTGTTAAATTAGGGGGGCGCAAGTCACAACCAGCAACTACTGGACACGGGCGAGCTGATTCTCTCCAACCTCCAACTGTCCGATGCCGGTAACTACTCCTGTCAAGTGGACAACGGCCAGGGCTCGGACAGGATCTCGTACAACCTGGTGGTGCAGGTGCCCCCGTCGGCGCCCCTGCTGTACGTGACGAGCGCCACCAGCAGCAGCGTGCTGCTCCATTGGAAGGCTGGGAGTAACGGGGGGGCGGCCGTCAGTGGGTTCACTTTGAACTACAGGAAGGAACACGGCAATTTAGACGAAATTCACCTGTCCAGACACGCTACGAGCTTCGAGTTGAAGGTAAGCGTTCAGTATATGAAGACGCCGACCGAATGGAACATCTCCGTCGTCAAAATTTCAGGGCCTTTCCTGCGGGACCACTTACCACCTGTACCTGACGGCCCACAACAAAATCGGGAGCTCGCCCGCCAGCCACCCCCTGCAGGCCCGCACCCAAGGCCACCCTCCCGGCGTCCCGTCGGCGTCGTCTTTTATCACACCTAACTCTACCTCGGTGGTCCTGCGCCTCCACGTCTGGCCGGACAACGGGTGCCCCATCCTCTATTTCATCCTGCAGTATCGGAAGGCGACAGAGTCGCAATGGACATTAGGCAAGCGGTTATTTATTTAAAACTATCAGATTCAAATTGGATTATACGTTAATATTTTGATATTTTTTCGATCGTTTATTTCATAATTTTCAGTATCGAACGCTCTGAAACCACAACGACGGACGTCGATAACTGGTTTAACACCCGCTACCCAGTACGTTGTTAAATTGGAGGCTCACAACGTCGCGGGCTTCTCCACGGAGGAGTTTGCTTTCATGACGCTCACGAAGGAAGGGGGTAACTTTTTTTACGTTGTTTTTATTCGGGGAATATCACAGCGTGTCTCTCTTTGTAGATATTCCTCCGCCGGACCTGATGAAACAAGGAAGCGAAGACCCCCCTTTTTACTCGGACATGAAAATTGTGATTCCGTTATTGCTGTTAGTTCTAGCCATAAAGATATCCGTAGTGGGAGCTCTACTATGTATGAGACGTCGTAAGTATTATATCTTTCGCATTTTTACGTTTATTTGATGTTAAACATCGTTTTTGCGTGCACCTAAATATTCGCAACGGAGGCGCGCAAAATGTACTTTTAGCGATAATTCCATTTGTAAACGCTACTCCCGTTTTGACGAAATAATATTGGCCGTTATGTTTCCTTTAGCGTTCTTGCGGTTTCTCTTAGATATTTCTCCCTCTTCATATCACTGTCATATCATCTCTTTCCTCTTTGTGCGATTCCAATTTAAAAGGACACATCGCTTTTTTACTATTCCAGGCCAAAACGATGCTGCCAAAGAACAATTAGATAACCAACAAAACGCCGAAGCTCAAAGAGAACGCTACTACGCCACAATCCACAAGGTAGCGTTGCAAGCTGGTGAAAAGATACCAGGTAATTAAGATTATTGGCTTGCGAGGGGCCTGCGTCGACATTACATTTCCTTGACGCTTACAGAAACCTCAGAAGACATATCTCCGTACGCGACATTTCAACTCTCCGAGCCAAGCACTCTGCCGCAGAACACGATGCTGCACAGTTTCATGTACCACGAACACCCCATGACTGAGGGCTGCGCTTCGCCACCTCCAGCCACCTCGTCTGTTCAACGAAACTCACCTTACTATAATATTGTAAGCGCTGAAGATCTGTTAAATCGCTTAGGAGGGCTCTATAGCAAATGGGCAACCAGTAATACATTTTTATAGATTTTATTGCACAGTTTGTCTAAATATGAATCAATGCACAAATAACAGACTTTCCCCCATTCTAACGCAGATTTTCTACAAAATGGAGTTAGTTTGAAACTCAAATAATTTTTTGGTGTAAAGTAATTTGTAATTCGCCGCAATTGAACAAGTAAATTACAAATTTCTTTACGCCAAAAAGTTATTTGAGTTTCAAACCAAGTCCATTTTATAGAAAATTTGCGTTAAAATGGGGGAAAGTCCGTTGTTTGTGCATTAATTCATATTTAGACAAACTGTGTAATAAAATCTATAAAAATGTATTGTTGGTTGCCTATGGAGCTCCCTTAAAATAACTAATTCGTTTCTTTGTTCTTAAAGATAAGGGTTATTTTTCTTCCAGCAAAAATTTCAAAGTACAAAAGGTCATGGACGAAGACGTGCCAATAGAAAAAATGACGTGGATAGTGAAGACAGCGAGTCGGATCAGGACCAGCTGACATCCAGTCGCACCGAGTCTTCCAACCAACTAGATATGAAACACAAACATAGTAAGTAGAATTGACACGCTTTATTTTTTTTATTTTTTATTTTATTTTACTTTGACCAAATTATCGTAAAACGAAGTCTTCAATTCTTATTTTCTTCATTTCAGACTATGCAAAAGTTTATTATATACACATATGGTAATTATTTGTTTTTTTTAATGCTAAATTCACACAAGATTTCACTAAAAACTAACAAAATTAATTCACTAACTCTTTCACTATAAAAAGGGCTTTAAACATGTGTAAATAGCTTCAGTTATAACGAGAGATTTAACAAAACTATAAACCGTTAATATTTGCAGCTTTTGTTGAAGGTAACTTTATTTATTTAATTCACTTGGCTCTCCATTTTCAGCACTTATAATTTCAACATACCTATACAGGGTGATTCAGAACTTATCCAAAAAAAAAGGATATCCATCAACTCCGAGTTGCTATACACGCAAGCCATTTTTGACGCCAACTAACTACTAAAAAACTATTGTAAACACTATGGCAACGACGATTGTAAAATTGGATTTCAGTATTTGGAGTCGTTGAGGCCACGCGTATTACGAATGACGCTAGAGATTACAGTTGTCCAGCTATGTAATGATTGAAAGTACTACAACTTCAATAATTTTTTTCTCAGAAACTATAAAAATTTTACAAAAAATATTTTTACGACATTCACTCGATTTCTTATGCCGCATCTATTCCCAATTTTTTTCGAATAAGTTGTGAATCACCCTGTACACCGTTCCACTGAAATGAAAGTTTTGCGTCCAGATCAATTTCTATGAATGCTTCTAAAATATTTTTTAAAATTTTATTCCATATCGTCTGGATTTAACTTTCACGTTCGGAAAAAAGAACAGTAGTAACCAATTTTCTAATCGCTAAAATCAAAAACTACAACTAATAAAACAACTTTCTACCTACTTTGAATAGTCCCTTACCTGCTTTATACAGGGTGTCCCAATATTACGTCCAAACGTGGAACTACCACAGTTTTTGAGATCAAAATAAGACTTTAGCCCTTAAAAAATTTTAAAAACATCAATACCGACACAAGTTTTTTTCCCAAATAGAATATACCTGGGCAGGCAACATAATTTCTCATGAGCAGTGTTTATTTTTCGCCCATCTAGAACCCTGTTGTCACATCCGTCAAGTGGATTGATATCATGTTCATCCAAATTAAGTCAAAACCAGAGGTCATCGACATTGAGATTCACAAACTAAACACGGTGCTTTGAAAATTTATTACGAAAAAATTGAAATTTTAAAAGATATTTCAAATTTATCAGATTAGTATGTGTTTGTGTTGATTGTTTATGATGTACATTTTCTAAAACAGCAAAATTAATCATTTTAAGCAAGTTTGGACAAGTCTAATTGTTTTATTTTGACCCCAAGAGCGTTCGATGGGTCCAAGTTCCAAGTAAACGGATATGGGGATAGCCTGTACATAAAAGTTACTTTCTTGCATGACTACACATTAACTCACACCTCCACTAAATCACACGATCCTAAAAACGATTTTTTTGTAGATTTTGTGTACCACGGGGCCCAATCGAGTACATCTTCGGACATATCCCCAATGTCAGAACAAAAGTCGCTACCCCGGAGGAACCGAAATAGGTACATGAATGCAAAAGAGTTACATGTACATTCAATACTCACCAAAGACAACCTTACTCGTAGGTGGCTGGCCCAGGGGGGCCGGAGCGGGTCTCAAAGACAAATGCTGTCTCACCTATCGGTAGCGGAAACGGCATTTACGGAAAGGCCACCGCCGGAACAAAACACACCCGACCGACCAGAGCTAAGCGAGGCGGAATGTGACATCGACACTCTCAAAAAACTTAAGTTAGGCTTGAGATCGAGTCTGTGGTCGAGACCGAGCGGCTCTGGACAGCCGTCGGACTACTCGATTGCTGTGTAATTGGGTGTGAAGTCGGGAGTTACGGTGTATGTTGCAAAATGAACACAAAACAATTGTACAAATTTTTGAAATTTTACAGGAGTTCCTCGCGAAACGCAGTTTTGGACGGTGAAATGCAGCGTTGCAGTAAGTTCCCATTAAAATTCATTTTATAATCAAAATAATGATCAGAAATTTTTTTTCTATTATTCATATTTTGCGCAAACACACCTTTTCTATGACGCAACTGACTGGAATCATCGTGGCATTTGCCCGAGCACAAGCACTTCTCGTTAATTTCTTTTTAAGCCAAAAACGTCAAAATTGTTAAATATCTTTTTAATACAAATAATTTAAACACAAAAAATTACGTAGTAGTATTTTTGTCTACTCTGTTCAAAAATTAAATTAATTTGGAAATCGATTGAATTCAAAAAATGTATCACATTAGTTTCCTTTTTTTTTCCCGAACCTCCAAAATTTATATGAGAGAAAATTAAATAGTTTCTAAATTACTGTCTCTTTTTTTAACAACTTTGATCACTTTTGTATATTTTTTTGTTTGCGTTAGGCCTATTAAAATTTTTGCAGTCATCAATTCAAAAATGAAAACCTGGTAGACACTTTTTGCAAAATACAATGAATAAACATAAGAATATTGAAAGGTTTGAATAATACAACATGCGTTCCAAAGTAAACAACCCTTTTTAAAAATAAGAACAATATAAAAGTTTTTTTAGCAAAACCGATTTATTTTAATCAAAATAGTCCTCTTCCGACTCAATACAGCGATTAGCGCGGTCGAAAAACGTGTTGAATTAGTGTTTTAAATCGTCAGGTTGGATGACCTTTTGGATGGCTTCTACGTCCAAAAAAACTTTCCTTTCATCGGCAAATGCATTTTTCCGAAAAGGTGAGTCACACGGTACCAAATCAGGCGAATACGGGGAGCGGTTGATAGTTTTAGTAAAAAAATTAGTCACAAGTGTCAATCGATGAGATGGCGCATTATCGTGTAACAAATGCCAACTTTCTTCTGCGTGATGTATGTATGTATGTGTCGGGGGGGTGGTGGAAAATTGTTTTTCCACCGTGGCACTTAGGCCTTATTAGGCCCCTTGTACACCCCCGAGTACTTTTCTTCAAACCTATCCTATCCTATAACAACACGGGTGGCAAAGTCTCGTACAATTTTTATGTATGATAGTATGGTCTTGAATTAGAGATTTATTGCTCTATTCTCATTACCATTTTATCGGGGACCACACGCTGGCGGCAGGTGTTGAGTGGGCTGCCACATCCCGAGCCTGCCTTAGGTCACCCATCCAAGTTCCAGCCTGCGTCCGTGATGCTTACCTCGGCCGATCGAAATCCATCGGCCAAGACACCTGGCTAGGCAGTCCCCTCTTCTGTGTGATATTCTGCTACTAAGCTCTTCAAAACCCCGAGATAGAATCGTGCATTAACTGTTTAACCCAGTGGACGAACTCTTTGTGAACAATGTTCTTGGAATCGTAAAAGCAAATCATCATTGTCTTCACTTTCGACTTCTCTAAATTAGATTTTTATGGTTTTTGGTTCGTTTGTCTCCTTCCACTCGGCAATGTGGTGCTTGGTTTCTGGATTATATTGAAAACAACAAGTTTCATCACCAGTCGCAATGTTGCAAAGGAAGTTTTTGTACTTTTTTGGCCTTTTCGATGTCCTTCGGACGTTGAATTCTGAATAATTTTTGGTCGTCAGTCAACTTGTGCACACACTTCGGTATCCCAAATCTTCGGCCAAAATACGATAAATTTTGGATGGCTTCTACATCCACAAAAACTTTCCTTTCATCGGTAAATGCTTTTTTCCGTAAAGGTAAGTCATACGGTACCAAATCAGGCGAATACGGGGAGTGGTTGATAGTTTTAGTAAAAAAATTGGTCACAAGTGTCAATTATTATCGTGTAACAAATGCCAACTTCCTTCTGCACGACATTGTGCTGCTAAACTCTTCAAAATGCCGAAATAAAATTGTGCATTAACTGTTTAGCCCAGTGGACGAGCTCTTTGCTCTCGGAATTGTAAAAGTAAATCATCATTGTCTTCACTTTCAACTTCTCTAAATTAGATTTTTTGGGTTTCGTTTCGAAACAAGTTTCATCATCAGTCGCAATGTTGTAAAAAGACCTTTTGGACTTTTTTGGCCTTCTCGATGTCCTTCAGATGTTGAATTCTGAACAATTTTTGGTCGTCAGTCAAGTTGTACACACTTCGTAGACCAAATCTTCGGCCAAAATGCGATAAATTGATATTTTTGAGATGCTCATTTCCAATTCCATGAATTTCAATGAAGATTCTGGCGGATCTTTGATGAATTTACTCACAGTTTTTATGGGATCTGCGGTGATCGCAGATTTCGGTTGGCCGACGTGTTGCTCAGTATTTATGTCCTCACGAGCGTTTTTAAACCACGGATACCACTCGTGAACATAAACTCGGGATAAACAATCGTCACCGTAAACTTGGTTCATCGATTGAAGTGTTTCGGTAAGAGTTTTACCAAATTTAAAGCAAAAATTAATATTAGCTCTTTGTTCGACACTCATTTTTGTATCGGTGACACAAACGTACTGTAAATAACCTCTATTCGTCCAAATGCCATGAAATTTTGACAGTACATTAGTGGAGGATCTACCTTTCCGAGGCATGTAATTGCCAATAGATGGGCTCACTAGAGATACTTATTTTTGAAAAGTCGCGTTTACTTTTTAACGCATCTTGTATGTTGGAATTTTTTGTTTTACCGATGTGCTAGTGAAAATAAAACGTTGATTTTTTATCGAAAAGTTTTTATTTTCACCAGTGCATCTGGAAAAATATAATTTTTTCATTGGTTTTTCGGCACGATATAGAAAAATTTTTATCTTTACTGAAATCTCTGGCAGATTTATCGAGAATTTTAATTTTTTAACGTAATAAGTGAATTGTGTTTTATAAGGGTTCCCGTACATAATAACTGTGAACGAACTATCCGATAATCAAAAAGTAAATGTCAAAATGTCTCTGAGCCGAGCGCAACATACACCTACGACCCCGTTACGTTGTTCAATAAAATCAAAATTAAAAGTTAAATTTTATACAAAAATTAAAGTTAAGTTTGTAATATATGTTTATGAGAAATTTTTGGAGCAATTTTATAATATAATTTCGACTGACTTAATGACAAAATAGATAACTTTCCTGTCGATGTACCAAAAGCAATCACTGTCTGAATAAAATCAAAATACCCCCGAACCCGTAAACAGTATGTATAATAGTTCAACTTAAAATAAATTTATTGTAAACAGAAGGGCTTTTATTTATTAAAAATTATACAAGTACAAATTCCCATAAAGCTAAATTTATAATAGGTACATGAAAATATTGCACATAAGAGAATTTACAAGACACAGTTCGTCGGCCGTCACGCAGTCAATGAAACGACACCAAAAGTTTTCCGCATTCGAAAAATTTGTTACAGTTCTCACAAATTTTTCTCAATTCGCTAAAACGAGTCGGTAAAACTTCTTCGTAAAGGGTCTAATCGTACTCAACACTTCTTTAGGAAAATTTCAATTCCTTATTTCGTAAAACATTTGATTTCGTCCTAAATCTTTGGCAAAAGCGTTACAATCGGTAAATAATATTCGCATTATTCATATGAACATCTTTATACAACAATCGAAACTTTAAATTTCTGTATCGAATATTTACAAAAACTAAGACGGACCTGTTAAAGTTATACACGGGGTGTGCTATGGAGGTGTACAAATCGGCTGAACTAAATTTCAAGCAATAACGTGGTTAGTAATCGGGTTTCGGGTTTTTATTCCCGTGTACCTAGTCGCCGCCACTTACAGGATTACTTCCTTAGGAATCCTCGACTTGCCTTTGTTGTTCTCGGGCTAGGCTCTGTAAGGGCAGATCCAGTATCAGAAGTGGCGCCAAAGTATTTGCAATATGACGACAGTGAAGAATAGCAAAACATTGGATGCATTGGAGTGGTTTTGTCTGTAAAATCAATACCGAGGTCGGCCTAGAGGTTTTGACGGCAGGCCCACCCCCGCGAGAACAACAAAGCCATTATAAGTCTGTAAGCGGCGGTGACCATGACGTTAACAACCCAAAAAGCCGAGGTACCCTAAATATTTAAGCAACAGCGATTAATATTTATGCTCGATGTTTCTTACTGCACTGGATTATGTTGCGATATTTACAAGTTATATTTTTTACCGCTGGCATTTACTACAAAGAAGCGTACAATATGTAGATTAATTTGTATATTACAATGTTAGCTGAATATATTGATACGTCTGCAACAAATTAACACACACCCCTATAACGCACCCTCCGCAAGTAGACAGTTTTATTAACCCTCTAACAGCGCCACTGTCTGCGGAAATTGCATTTTTGGTGTACGTCGTCTGTATACCAAAAGTTAACCGTTAGGTATACAGAGTGTACAAGTTTATCGTGTCTAAACGAGTACGAAGTGACAACGAAGACGTTCATTTGTCAATCAGATATATCTCGAGTGAAAATTTTACGTCATACGAGTATTAAGTACGATCACCCGATACATGTTTTAGAGTGAATATATTTTAATTGTTTTTATTTCAGATTTTTTTTTAATTCTACGGAGTCCGGAAAAAAATTATGACTATGTTCGATGAAGACCAATTACTGATTTTTTACGGTCTGATGATACTTGCTGTTAGAGAGTTAAGTATTTTTTTTATGAAAACACAAAATCAATCTCAGATTCATATTGTGTTCACAATAAGCTGCGTCCGTAATTTAAATATCGATTATTAATTCCAACAGATCAAACCGAGCGGAATAAAGAGTCTGTGTCTGCAGTCTATAAAAGTAAAAAAAACATACACGCATGTAACATGTGTAAACTTAAACACAAAATTTCGTTCTAATTGTGTGGCTCTGGAGGATGTACGACTAATTCATTCCGATAATAAATAAAAACAGGTAAAAGTTTAAAACAATAAACAATATTTATATACAAATAATTATACAAGGCTTCAACCTTTAGGCATATTATCATATCACATCATGAATTGTAGTTATTTTTAAATATATTTTTAGATATACATTAATTAAAGTCCTCAAATCATATTATTTCTTAAAATAGAAATTAAAAACATGTGTTAATATCGTGGAGCTTAATTAATCGTTTTTCATGTGGTAAGTATACTATTTATGGCAAATGTGTTCCTATATGATACCCCAAAAAAGCAAAATCGCTTTGTCAGCGTCGACCTGCACTATCTCCCCCCGCAAGCACTGTGGATTGCCAACAATTCATGTATTTGTAAAACGTGATTATTACAGTGGCGACGTACACAAGAATAAAAGTGCATTTTAAAAAACTAATTTGATTAAAAAAAAATTCAGAATCGTATTCAAGGGAACATGTATTATTCCTAAAAAACTGAACCCACTTAACGTTACACCCTGTATAGTGCATTTTTTAAGTCTGTTATAATTTCGGATGTCTGGGTAACTTTAGACTAAAAATTGTTATTAAACCTGGAGACTTAACCCATTAACTCCCCAAAATCACGGTATTTATAACTCATTTTCAAAATTCACTGACAAATCAAAAAATGTAAAATATTTTGGCCAAACTTCCTTGTCTTACTATTTTTGAGTATTCTCTTGTGATTCCCGAGGTCCAAATTCCATTTCAAAAAAACAAAATGGCGGATTTTTGAGTGAAAAAGTACCAAAAAATAGGAATTTAAAAAAAATTTTTTTTTTCGAGCTGAAAAAAGATTAAGTTGTGTTCCGAACTGTGGGTAAACGTGGGCTAAATAGTTGTAGTTTACGGAACATTTTTTTTCTTAGCACCCTTTTTGCGGAAAACGGTAGAAATGTCAAAAAATATGAGCCGTTTCTAAATAATTCTGATATAAATCGACATTGAACGAAATGTTTGCACTCAAAGTGCAAAATTTCGATTGATTGATCATTCTCGGTTCTTTTTCAATACATTTCGCGATCTCAGTAATGGCCGATCAATATGGCGGTCGGGGAACTAGGAAAAACACGCGTTTTCTCACAATTATCGGTTGTTACAAAACGTTCAATTTTACCTCGTTTTTTTTATATTTTAAATTACACTGAATCAAAATCTGGCGACGAATTTTCAAAATTCAAAATGGGATATTGAAAATTGTATAATTTGCAATTTTGTATTATTGTAAAACCTGTCTTGACAAAAATCAATAAAAATATCTACCATGTATAAAAAAAAGGGTATTTGGAAAAATCGCAAAAAAAATACATAAATATTGAAAAATTCCAAAAATATAGAAAATTGAAAAAATTAGATATAAAAAAAATTTTTTTTAAATAAAAAATATAAAAAAAACTAAAAAATTCTACAAAAAATTTTCTATATCCCATCAGCCATATTGCAGCCGCCATTTTGAATTTTGAAAATCCTTCACCAGATTTTGATTCAATGTAATCCAAAATATAAAAAAAACTAAACGTTTTGAATCTGTTATAGCCGATAATCGTGAGAAAACTCGTATTTTTCCTAGTTTCCCTATCGCCATATTGAACGTGCCATTACTGAGATCGTGAAATGCGTTGAAAAAGAACAATAGAAATTTTACACTTTGACAGCAAACATTTAGTTCAATGTCGATTTATATCAGAATTATTTAGAAAAAAACGCATATTTTCCTACATTTCTACTATTTTCCACTATTTTGAAAAAAAAAATTTACCTAAACTACAATTTTGCCCACTTTAACGGACAGTTCCAAACACAATTTCATTTTTTTTCGGCTTGAAAAAAAATAGATTAAAAAAAATTCCAATTTTTTGGTACTTTTTCACAAAAAAATCCGCCATTTATTTTTTGAAACATGTAAATACAATTTCGACCTCGAAAATCCAAAGAGCATACTCAAAAATAAGGATAAGGAAGTTTGGTCAAAATATTTTACATTTTTTGATGTTATTTTTAAACTTTAAACTTTAAAAAAATAAAATTAGGTATCAAATGCACTTTTTCATTTCTCGAAATACTGAAAATTCTGAGTAATTAAATGAATATCTGTCTTTAATTATATGATTGATCCAAGTTTCGTCCACCTGCTTCAAACATCTTCAGAGATATATAAATAAATGCAGTATATTTTAAACTTAGACTCTCGATTCATTCAAGCTTTTCGGTTTAAAATAACCCAAGGTGCGCCACCCTGAATTATTTTGACAATTTCCATAAACATTACATTATAATTTCATTGAAATTTTGGGGTACATTTTTTGAACTGTAAACTAACGTCGTGCCAGTGTACGACCTAAGGAAGCCTATAATTTGAGAACTAAAATCCGATTGTTCCCACGAAAACAGGTTACGTTATAATATTCAAGATTTACGCTGACTCTGAGCCAACACCGCCTCGTGTTTCCTGCACTCCACGCTCAACTGGCGCACGGCCGCAACATACTTCCTTTGCAGCTCGACCAAGCCTTGTAACGTGTAGCCGAGTTGATCCCTTTTCTGTCTCTCCTCGATAAGCTTCCTCTCCACCTTGAATTTGGACTGCCTCACGCTATCCACTATGTTCTGGAACTGCTTGAGGAACTCTTCTTTGCCGCCGCTCGACCGCACGGCTTCCGGGTAGCTGTCGGAGATGGAATTTAGTAGGGACAGTTCCTTCTGCATGTACATCCTGGTGTCCTCCAGGGTGTTGTAGAGGGTGTAGTACTGCTTCGTTTCTTTGTGCTTGGCGGCAACTGTTAAGGGACAGGTAAGGTTTTCAAAAAATATACACACAAGAATTACTGGAAGTATAATTAGTAAATAAAGACAAAATTAAGCACGAGAGATTCTAAAAAAAGGCATATCCACATCAACAAGAGATATATTTACCTTGGTTGTAGAGCTCCAAAAACCTTCTCTGATATTGGGCTAGTTCGGCTCGATTTGGAACGTCGTCCAGCTGCCTCTGCAGGCTAGCCACGTGTCGATTCTTCTTGGCCACCTGAAGTCTCAACACCCGGACCTTCTCCAATTCCTCCCCTATTGCTGTGTTCAGGTCACCGTCAGCCTCGCTCGGAGTCTTCGCTTTTGTCTTTTTAGTGTCGCTAAAACGTTATACCCCATTAGATATCGCTGGAAAAAAATTAAATTGGATCTTACTCTATAAGTTTCTGCAATCTGGCCAATTCCTGTTTACAATATTCCCTAAACTGGATTTCTTGCGCCTTTAAATTATCGTTTAATATGACTAGTTCCTCGACTTCCTTCACGCTTCTATAAAAAAAGGTTCAGTTTGCAAAAAGGTATAATATATAATAAAATTCGCTCACTCGGGATCACTCGCTTCAGTCCGTTCTAGTTCTTTTAAAGCTTTATCGGCTTCTTGTTGTTTCAGTCTTATATCCTGCAGGGCTGCAGTGTTTTGCTTCAGTTCGTCTTCTATCGATAACTTTGCCGCCTCGAATTTATTGCACCTTTCCGTCAGGATGTATTTCTGCTCGTTCAAGGCAGCCGACTGTATTTCTTCTCGAGATTGCTGGCCTCCATCCTTCGATATTAAAAAATCAAAACGTTTTAATTGCCATATACCCAAGGAGAATATATATTACCTTCAGTTCGGAATGTAGGGAAGCGTAATGTTTTTTAATGCGCTGCTTTTCTTCTTCATTCAAATCTTCATAGTCGACGATTTCCTAAAATTTGAAACGTTACGCGTCGTTCTAAATTATTCACATGGAATAATAAGAACTAACAAGAACTGTTAATTACCTCTTTGGCAGCGGTCAAATTATTCAGCAGCTGTTGAATTTGCCTCTACAAACATAAGCACAACAAAAATAAAATAAATGCGTAGCACAAGAAGCAACTATCGTGTGTTTGCTACCAAACTAATATGGAATTATGATTAATACATTCATTGATTTATATATTTAGATAAAGTTTTGTCTATTTGAGAATAATTTGGAAAACGTTTTTTAATAATTCCATAAAAGTTTGTGGTTACAATAAAAAGGCTTTTAAAGAACTACAACACGCAAAAGAATACATATGCCACAAGTATGCTAACAAAAAAATTATAAAATTTTAATTACTTCACTTATGCTTAAAATCTTATTGGAAAAATGAAAAGTATAAAGAATAAACGAGTTTTAACTTTTTCTATACATAGAACACATAGTGCGAATTTAGAATAAATAAATTAAGTCACTGCCGTTCAGGGATAAACCTTCAAAATCATGAAAAGATCCTACTGAATTAAATATCTATTTGTATTATTTCAACAAAATTATATCAACAATCAGTGTACAGTAAATTTTTTAAATCATTTCAAAAGAATTATTATCTGAAGTTTATATCCAAATCAACAATCTCTTTCCAAAAAACAGAAAAAATCTTATAAAAGAACTTGAACCAACAAAACAGAATATAAAAAAAATCGGTACCTCCTGTGCCTGTTGCTTCTCTAAGACGCCTTCCCCGCTAGTACCAGCCGCTGAACCAGTCCCGTGAGCGTTACCGCCTCTGTGATCGTATTCGAGCAATGTTATTTGCACTCTCGACGGAAAGTCTGGTGGCGGAGCATTTTTCCTCTTGTAATATCTCTGCGGTCTGTATATTTCACTGACAGTATTTATATTCTCCAGTACATGTCTTTTAATTTCGGAATCTTTGTCTTTCACGTCGAACTGCTTGTTGAATTGATTGTCTGCATACGAACGTACGAAAACAGACATTTCTTGCCGGTATTCCATGGAACGTTTGACGAGCCACTGAAATAGTAATAATATAAAATCATGTATTCGGTACAAATAAAAAAACTCACTTGTATAACTGGGTATATGTGGATAAAGTCTAAACCCTGTATCTGATGTGGTTCTATTCGATGTGGGCACTTAATCTTTGGCAACACTGCTACAATTTTCTCAGTTAAAGCTCTACAAAATACATTTCGTTAGAATATTACGAATTATAGTTGGAAATAAACGTACATCTTTTGGCCAATGGTTGAATTTTCCTGAAATAACAGGTCTACATCCACATCTACATTGCAAGATTCTATACACCAAGTCATACCGCCCACCACTTTGTCAAAAGGCGACAGCCCCTTAATTCTCGCCCTAAAATATCCAGCTGCCACTAAAAGGTCAATGATTTCTTGAAGTTTAACTGATTGTTCTTCATCCTCTCGTACTTCAATCTTAAAAAACAAATTAATCATAAAATCAAACAGATAAATTATAACACTATTTTTTTACTTCAATTTCATGTCCGTCTCCTTCTTGCCTAGTTGGCAATTTGTTAGCATTTTTAAATTTCTTGAACACTTCCGGATTAACTGTAGCCATTTATATTATGTATTATATATAATAACGTTACAAATTTTGTTTTATTAAAAATAACTTGAAAATTAAATCTGACATTTGTGAAAACTACTTGACATAAAACATTAAAGGTTTTTTGGCGAGAAAACCGCTAACCCGGTTAACTATAGTTTGTTGCGGTTTGCCGTTTTGGCGAGAAATGTTGTTAACCCGGTTTGGCAGAGTTTGCCTAACCATCAAACCGGACTTGTGGGTTGGTTTGGATCTTAAGTTAATATTTCTATCTTTGTTTATGTATTTTCTGTTTCGTACCTAGTAGTCACTACTTCGTTTTTTTAGAGGTTTGGATAGGTTAAGTTGTAAATAAAAAAATTTGGTAATGGATTCACTGCAAAAAATACAAAGTAATATTTGAAATTGATAATAAAAAAATAGTAATCGAGGATCCAAATAACTTTAATCGTTTATTAGATGGTAAATATGCATTTTATATATTGTACTGTATAGATCTTTATTAACTTCCTTTTAGACGATACATTTGCGTTTGAATAGATAATATTTGTGAACAAGGTAAACCCATTTTGATTTAATAACCATACATTAACGTTCTTTCATGGATCTGCATTTCAGATTAGGAATAACAACTATAGTATATAAGAAATAATTAAACAACTTGTGCTACGAGCACTATCATAGATTATAGGTTACGATTTCATTATTGATTAGATATCCAAACCAAAAGAATTTTTGCGAGTTCTGTCAAATGTTAACTCAAACTCTTAACACAATCAAACTCGAGCTAACCGGGTTTGATGTGGTTTGGCTCGCCAAAAAACCCTTATTAGGTAAAACTTTATTTTTTTGACAACAAATGCAAGTTACATCAAACAATTTACAATTCTACCAACTTAACAACTCATTAACCACTAACATTACAAAACTGACCCACAGAGCTAGAAAATTTTAGATCGCATAGGGAGCTTTCGTTTTGGCAATAATAGTACCTATTTGCGTATTATAATAATAACAATATTAATAATATCACAATAATAATGTTTTTATTAGCAGGATACATATTTATAACAAAGATTTAGGTAAACTGGTGGCACCGTTCGATTTTACTCGCTCTTCCATTAGTAACTAATATCAGTTCAGAGTAACTCTAAGTTGGTATTAGCTGTTGTTAGCTACTATTTTTGCCAAATCGAAAGGCTCTAAGGATCTAATTTAATGTTTAAATTTAAATTATAATTGTGTCCCTGTCCCTGAAAACGGCCCGATTTTATATGATCCGGCTAGCTCGTCAGTATATTATCTAGGCGGCTAGTTTATTAGCCAATATGATATACGTTAGAAATCTATTTGTCCAGTCTTTGTAACCTAAAAAAACATGAAAATTGTCAAAAAATTAAAGTGTTTATCTAAAGGCATTACCGTACGCCCTTGGGATCGCTGATCACGCAGGGCTGGTCTGTTTTACTGCAAGTGTTTCCGTTAAGTAAAAAAAAATCGAAAATTGTCAAAAACGGAATGAGCTAGAGGGGATCTGAATGCAGTTTTGGATTTGTCTACAGGAATATTTTCAGATTTTTCTGTGAATCCAAAATTTTTTTAAGAAAAGCGATGATGTATATTGTAATTGTAGTCCATGAAAATTGTCAAAAAATTAAAGTGTCCTAAAAGATACATTAGTAAATACAGAAATTATATTACTGTTCTATAAATAAAAAAGATTTATTTATAATTGTGTTGTACATTATTATTGAATTTATCTATAATCTTCCACAGTCGTGTACTTATTAATAGACATCATTTTTCCTACTGTTATGAAAGAAAATACAAATAAAAAAATGACGGTTCAAATTTTGTGAATTCTTATGCAGCCAAATATACACCAGAACTGTATTGTATGTTGCCTACCTAACAAACATTTACAATTAGATGAAACTGGAAAGAAACAAATTCAAATATCTCAAAAACTGGTAAAGCTAAACATAAACTGAATACATTTTTAGAAAGATCAGGGCCGTTATAGTTTACCTGAATTTTTTCAGATTTTTCTGAGCCCTAAAAGTTTTTGAGAAAATCGATGGACTAGTCCATGAAAATTGTTAAAAAATTAAAGTGCTCATCTAAAGGCATTACCGTACGCCCTTGGGGTCGCTGAACACGCTGGGATGGTCTGTTTTTTTACAAGTGCTTCCGTTAAGGAAAAAAATCGAAAATCGTCAAAAACGGAATGAGCTAGAGGGGAACTGAATGCAGTTTTAGATTAGTCAGGGCCGTTATTGTCTACATGAATATTTTCAGATTTTTCTGTGAGCCTAAACATTTTTAAAAAAGTTGGTAAAAAAAGGTATATTGTAATTGTAGTCCATGAAAATTTGTCAAGAAATTAAAGTGTCCTTCTAAGTGCGATTTTGTATGCACCTGTTAAGCTGCAATAGTAAATACAGAAATTAAATTACTGTTCTTAAATAAAGAAAGATTTATTTATAATTGTATTGTACCTTTTTATTGAATTTATCTATAATCTTAAACAGTCGTGTACTCATTAATAGACGTCTTTTTTCCTACTAAGTTATAAAAGAAAAAAAAAGAAAAAACCGATTCAAATTTTGAGAATTCTTGTGCAGCCAAATATATAACAGAACTGTATTGTATGTTGCCTACCCGACAAACACTTAAATAACACTTGGGGGCTTTCGTTTTGGCAAAAATAGTACCTATTAGCAACTAATACCAGTTCAGAGTAACTCTAAGTTGCTATTAGCTACTAATAGCTACTATTTTTGCTAAATCGAAAGGCCCTCTGGAAGAAAACAAATCGTAATTCTCGGAACCTGGTGGAGCTAGAGAGGAACTGAGTACAGTTTTGGAAAGATCAGGGCCGTTATAGTTTACCTCATTTTTTTCAGATTTTACTGAGCACTAAAAGTTTTTGAGAAAATCGTTGGACAGTCCATGAAAATTGTTAAAAGACACGCTGGGATGAGAACTCATATCTCATAGATAGCCTGGCTTTGTGTTGCTGGCAACTATCGAGAATCGTTGACTGAAGTCAACGATAGGTTAGAAATGAATACTCCAACCAATCACGTGCGTGCTAGAATGAGACAGCATGTCCTGAGATAGTGTCTGTCTCTCTCGCATACTCAGCCATACTTTTCGCAATGGCATGCTACCTCCAGTGGTATATGCTCGAAGGTAGTGTGGTAGTGTCACATACTTCTATAGAAGTATGTGGGTAGTGTAGGGCTATGTGGTGATCTCCCCCTCCCAACCCAAAACAAGTTTACAACTTACGTTAACCTCAAAGTAGTGCTGCAGTTTATAGTTCATGTATAGGCTAAATATAAAATAATTCCGTTTAGTAACTTGAGGAATGCTATAAAAATGAATAGTTCGCAGATAGAAGAAACTCTTAAAACTTCAGATGATGGAATTAAATCTTTATTATCAACGATTTTAAATATAAATTTGTGGAATGAAAGTAATGAAAAAATCATTATAACTGCCATAAACAAAATGCTAGCAGTTTCAAAAACTCGTTTACAAGGTTTAGAATTGTTGAATTTAATAATAAACAACTGTTCTCCAAAAATTATATCTGAAAATGGAAATACTTGGATATCACATTGTTTGGTTAAATATGCCGAGGATGATTTGAAAGAACTTAAATTAACAACAATTGGTACAATTAAAAGGTATTGCGTGATATTTAGTCATTATACCCATGTATTTAATTGCAGGAAGCATTGTTGATAGTAGCCACGAAGAACAAGAATTCAGCAAAAAATTTATTTCTGAATATGTATCAAAAGTTTTTGAAACCTGTCTTTCGATACATAATAATCATGAAGCTGCACTCAATACTCTAGCTACTTGTATTAAGTATTATGGGAGTTGGTTCGCGCCACATAAGTTGCGTGTAGAACATTTTATCACGAATTTCCTAGAAAATCCTTCAGAACAGTTAGTTGGAAGTGCTGCTACAGCTTTTCATTATTTACAACAGGTAATAAGTTATTTCTTTATAAATCTGCAAATAAAATATTATTGTTCATTTCGTCAGGTTGGAGGTGCAGGAATCGACGGAATCAACCATAAAAGAAATTTCTCTACCAATTTTAGCAAACTGTGCGTCACCGTGCAAAAACTATTCGATAAATTTTTCGAAAACGAAATTGAAATTGACCAGAGTGATAGATCTAATCAAGAAGCATTTGAATTTACAGATTTACCACATTATACACAGAAAATGTTACACATTACTACGAGACGCCTGAAAAATTGTTTGACCTTCATAATAAAAATGTTGCTGTAAGTGATATTTGAACCATTTTTTAATTATTACATTGCAATCATATTTTTACTCGCGTTTTTCAGTAAAGGTTTTCCTGCGGAGAAGGAAATAAAACCGAGTGATGTCTTAGACGTTATCAGTAGAGGCACTGCGGTCCATCGCTGCCTGGGCACCGCCAATGACAATTCCTTGGAAGACTTTCAGTTTTCTATCCTTTTAAATCAGGTGCAGATAGAGTTGCTACGGTTATTGCAAGTACTTATCGTTTGGTAATTAAGTAAAAATTAAAAGCAATATACGTGTATACATCGACATATTTCGTTTTAGGTTACATGGGAATGCTTTACCGTTTACTTTCACCATCACTAAAATCCTAGTAGACTGTTTAAAAAGGTCCCAGTCCTGCCAATGTTACAAAACAGATAGGTAACTATGAAAAATAATTCAATTAATGTCTCTGACGGGGAAACGTTAAAAAAATTTTTAGCCTTTATCAGGAGAGGGTTTATAAAGCGTTAGGATGTTGGATAAGGGTCTCGAGAGGTGCTTTGCATACGCACTTCCAAACGCAATTGGTAAAATGCATCTTGAAAGACGTAACGCCAGTAAAAAATAGTGTATCTTTAAATGTAAGTACTGCAAATTATTTAATAGGGTCACTTATGGTTTTTCTTATACAAGGTGTTCCGATTAAATCTTCCCACCTGGAAAATATCGGAATTAAAAAAAAAACAGCTGCCCCCCTCTAGGAATCGAATTGCCGCCTGCTAGTTAGCTCGAGCCGCGCTTGAATGCTTCTTTTTGACGCACAATTAAAAATGCAGAGGTGGCAAAAATGAAGCACAGTATTTTTTTATTGAAAATATATTATTGGCTTCAGAAGCAATAGATTCATGTAATAGACATAATCGAAAAATGGAAATCAAAAAAGATATTCAAGAAAAACGCAACCAAAAAATTTTTACTTTTTTTTTTAGTCATTTTTGGAAATTTGAAATGAATAAAATCGTTATCACTCATTTTTACCATGAAAGTACAACTCTTAAGGAAAAAAATGAGCCTTCACTCGTTTCTCTACGACTATTCGTCCAGCAAGACGAGCCGATTTTCAAGATGACCTCTTTTTCGGAAAATCTCGCTATAACTCGAAGTTTTTAATTTTTTTTATTTAAAAAAAGCACTTTTGCTTGCCGAAGGCTACATTTACAGCAAATGACAAGTTTGAAAACCTTAATTTGCAAGAGATACAGCAGGAACAAAACAGGTCGATTTTTGATGGTTTTTTCGATATGTCTCGAAAAGTAATACAGCAATCGATATATTTAAAAATACGAATCAATAGATTTTTTCAATAGCTACAACTTTCTTATTTACCGTTTTTCGATTGTAGTTCAAGTTTTTTTTATTAACAAAAAACCGTATTTTCGACATTTATGAATTTTTTAGGTTAACTTCGCCGTTTATGCGCCACAGGAAAAATACACTGTTTCTTAGAATTTTTTCCTATATTACCATATTTTTTGTTTACGCCATCTCACGTGTTCCCCTTGAAAAGAAAATCGACGTCTCCGTTTTTTTTTAATCCCGATATTTTCCAAGTGGGATGTTGTAATTGAAACACCCTGTATATGTATAACTTTACTCAACAGAATGAGGTATTATTGACATGTTGTGTCAATTAAATTCAGTGAACTGTAAATTTTCGCTTAAGCGATTAGTTGCTATTATTGGCCATTTATGGCACTGCCAAATTATACACGTAACAATAAGGCGGTACACGATCGAGTTCCTGATTCTCTCCAAAACAAAAAATTGTTTGTTAACTTTATTTTACAAGTATTATTTGTTCATATAGTACTTCCTATAGATTTTCCGACGCTATTGCATTGGAATTTTGTGTGGTTTTTTTATCTACCTACCTTATTTCAGTTGCCAGGAGACGTGCATAAAAATAAGTCGAAGAAAGCTATACAAAAGGCCGTTCAAGACAGAATTATTTCAAGTGGGCAGGGAAACAGGAGCGAGTAATTCCGTTGCGATGTTATCGTAAAAATATGTTAAATAATTTGTTTCTAGGGAATTCACGAACACAGAGAAGTTTAATCGAGAGAAGAACTGTTTGTTCGCTTTAAATACTTTGAAACACCTATTGAGTGGCACTATATTAAAATTACATCCAAATACCATGCAGGTATGTCCGTTTGTTATCGTTTTGTTTTGGTAGAAACTCGGTTATTTAAATTGATGTAATCCGAGATCGGGAGTCTCCGATTGTTTCTCCGCTACGAGTTTTTGTGACGAATTTGCCATTTCATCTGTTTGAAAAATAATCGAGATTCTATTGCACAAATTATTATACTTATAAACTTCACAAAGAACTTTCGATTTCAGGAGCTTTACAAGTCTATAATCAACACCTTAATCGACATACAAATCTCCGAGACCAGTCACCCTTACACGAACCGGGAATGCGAAGCGGAACTGTACGAGGTCTTCGTGACTTTCTACGAACAAGACACACTAAAGACCCTACCGCCCCTCCAACTCACCATCGACGTTCTTAACAGAGGCATTAATAGCACCAACAGGACGATCGCTTTGACGTGCGAACACGGTTTAAGTAGTTTGGAGAAGATATGCCGTCCCGTTTGCCCTTCTATGTTTATATCGGAGGGTACTACACCGGAACAAGCCGTATTGCTTCCCGAGGACAAATCTAGTGAAGACGCACTTGAAGATATGAGAGACGTTAGTGAATCGGGTATGGAAGAAGCAACTTTAGATACTTCCAGTACCTCGGAGAGTGAAGGCGCGTTGGAAAAAGGCGAAGCGGACGAAGAAATCGAGGTGAAAGAAGACGTAATGGAAAATGGGACGGAAACGTCGATTACTTTGGAACAGGAACCGTCAGTTCATATAATCGATATGCAGATCATAAAATCGTCTGCCGAGGACGTAGAATCAGATATAGAAGATTCTGCAAAAGATACGCAAAATGGTTCCGTTGCGGGAGAACAAATACAGGAAGGCGATGGTAATAAACACTTTGCATTACAGGGTGCCCCAGGAATAAGTGCCAAAATTTTAACCATGATTTTAACTCGTTGGGAGCAACTTTTTTCAAAAGTTTTCGATATATTTTTTATTTTTTTTTACCCAACTGCGACGCAAATAAACACTTACAGTTCATCGTTGTGATAGAATTTCAGGAAAGAATCAGCCAATAAAGTTCTGTTATCGGAACTACTGTAACAATTTACCGCAGCGGGGACGTGCCTTGAAATTTCCCACTTTATTTTCAGATTCAAATATATAAAGTAGATTTTTTGGATTAAAATGTGTTTTTATTTCTTTTACAGTACAGTAGAGCACACATCATAAATTAGAACGATATACTTCCGAACAAACATGACTTCGTAACTGCAAAACATAGTCTTGGGGTCTTCTTGAAATTCTATCTCGACAAATATCGTATGGACTGTAGTTGAGATAATAACAGAGAAAATGCAAAAAATAGGCAACCAATTCATATATTTCTTTAATCTAAGGCAGTTCGTTAGCAAAACTGAGTTTTCGGAAAAATGTTTTATATAAAAGTTGTTGCTGTTATTAGGGTAAATAAGTGTTAAATTTTGGCACTGATTTCCGTATATAATTCATCAATTTTTTTTTCTAGAGTCTTTGGACATAAAAAGAGAAATGTTGAACCAAAACAGCATTCAAGAACGTGAGGAAATAACGGAGTTTGTGGAAGATTTCGAACCGCCTCTGAAAAGGATACGAGGAGACGACACACCGACTCCCTCGTCAAACGTGAAAGAGGAAGAATTCTTACAAAACCCAGAGGATAATATATTCGAGGAAGGTAATTACTTTGTGATCTGATCGTCCGCAGTCAAACTAATTTGAAGTTTTCGTCCTATACAGAGTCCTTAGAAAATAAAGAACATTTAAATGACGTTGCATCTAACGAAGCGAATAATCTACCAAACTTAAAACAAGAACAGCCGTCGCAGAACCTGGAGGACGACATATTCGAGGAAGGTAGCGATTTTGTGGATGCAGTTAAAGATTATTAGTTATTTGTTAAAATTTCTTTCGATACTTTGTATTTTTTTTTATGAATATAGTAAAAAATAAAGTTTCAAATTTTAAATAAAAATATGATTCTTCAATTTTGATATGTTGGTTTCTACACCTGTGACGAATACATGAAAAATTGTGTCGAATACATAGAAAATAGTGTCGAATACATAGAAAATAGTGTCGAATACATAAAAATTGTGTCGAATACATAAAAATCACAATATCGAATTGATATATAAAAAAACTGCGTTATACATTTTATTATAAAAAAACAAAAGATAAAATATCATGGTGCCTTGTACAAAATAAATAAGTTATCAGTAAATCGAAAAATAAAAATTATTTAGAGTTCTATTTACATCACAAAAATATTTCTCTTCTTCCTAACATCCTAGGTTCTAAGTTAAAATATATCACTGCACTGCAATTTCCTGTTGCGATTGCACTCGAGGGACTCTGAAAATTCCGGCACTTGGGCCCACGTCGAAAGCAACCTAAAAAAATTTTCAATGTACAGCGACGGGCTGGCAAAATTTCAGAAGAGATTTTGAAATAAAAAATTAAGTTAGGCGACAAAGCTGAAACGGAGAAATTACAATAAATAACTTACGAAACTTTCTGGGGCAACTGAAAGTGTATTATATTTTCATAAAGTTGATGCTGAACGGTAGATTCAGAACACTTAGTCTGAAAACGCAAAAAAACAACACGTTACTTTTTTTTTTACATCGAAACTTTATTTCTGAGTATTACCTGAGAATAGGCCAGGAAAAACAGTGCCGAATCCTCGTACATCTCCAGAGAGGGTTGGTGAAGATGGTCCGTGTTTTCTAAAGACAATTTCAGCGCCTAAAAGCAACAAGACGTATAAAATATGTCACAAATTCCACATTTGTACGTACCTCGTTGGTCACACTCACTGCCGATAAATGTTTCAAGTTTCGTAGAGAGGTTTCGTTCGCTTTACCATATGGAAGAACCAAGTTTAGGTTTGACGCGTAATCGCTCAAGCATTTTAAGGCGGAGTGTACGCTGTTGATGGAATCGTCGACTGTCTTATGGTACGGCGATAGGATCTTCCTATCAGATGTCCATAGACTGTCGTAGGGCAGAATCGATGATATTACTGCTTCTGCTATTTCGACCCCTAACCTTCCATAGAGTATAGAGCTGGAAATTTGCACATGCAAAATTAGAATTCTCATCAGATGGAAGTTATACACGAAGCACGAAACATGCAAATTTTGAGATTCTACTCCAAACAAAAGTATTGTTATTGATATAGAGTTGGAAAAGTTTGTTTATGGACGTAAATATGAGAAACCTCTAAAAAACACCATTTCTGTTCGGTCTTTATAAAAAACATCCTAGTAAATTCGGGACTATTCAATTTTTGGTGATCTCGAAATCAAACATTATCTTGTCGATAAAGATCCGTATAAAATCGTACTGCAGAAAAAAGTTGCAATGTATTAGTAAAAACAGTGATTTTCTAAAAGAAACCAAAATTCGAAATTTCAACCAATTGGGTCAACTTTTTGATCTCATTTGACCCAAATTTATTAGTTGATTTCCTGACACAAAATTCAGCCATGATAAATTATGTGTAACATATTTTCCATTTCAAAATGTGTATATTTTCACTTTAGAAATTTAGCTGGAAAAAATATGGTAATGATTTACCACAGCGTCACCCTCTTCTACTCTTCTTTGTTTAACCTAAACTTTAAACTACCTAAAGTTAGTTCAAATACTTCAAATCACGGTCAATTTGACCAAAGTGAACTAATCAAGTGGTAAAACAAATACAGCTATTGTCAGTGTGCACTAGAACTATTTCCATCCTTTATTTTTCGATTTGAGAATAGAGGATGGACATATTCTTAGTCCGACCCGAGTGCAGAAGTACAAATGAATGGAAAACGCTTTTATAGTAGAGTGTATCGTACGTATGTGATCTAAGACCGCTAAAGAAGTCCACAACCTTTCTAATTTCCTTTTAGTGCCGACGTGTAACGGTTAAACTCACAAATCTAGTTCTGACCACCATATGTGATAGAATGAGAGAATTAATTTTATGAAAAGGAACGTTAGTTTGGGGGTTCCCCGTCCACAGTATCCGCAATATTTAGTTCATAATTGCACATTTTTCTTGTGTATGCATATTTTTGCTCGTAATCAGGGTCCCGAGAAAGTATACTAAAAATAAATCTTATTTTAGCGACGTTATAGGTTAAGTTAGTGCTTTAAAATGGGTAAAAGAAAAGGCAAAGGTAGAATAAGATTTGTAGTTTTTGATTCAAACAATTTGCCATCACACTCTGATAGTGATAAGGCGACAAGCAAGACCAGCAATAGAAATTCTAAAAATATTAAGAGTAATAGAAATGATACCATTCCAATTGAAAAGTATTCTGTGACACCTACAAGTGATATTTTTGCATCATCTGCTGATGTACCAATGACTTCTAGTAGTTCTAAAGGAGACGAAAGTACTGATACCTCTACCAAATTATGTGGACCATCGGATGAAGGTGTTTTAGATGAATTTCCGACTATTAAAGATGATAAACAGAACGTTTCAAAATGTGAAAATGAAATAAGTTATGGAAACCATGAGCTGGCAGAAGTCAAAAATGGAATTCAAAATTTATCTGCGAGCTCTCACTCTGAAGATTCGTTCAATAAAAATTCTACACAGTTTGGAAGCAGGGGTAATAATGAATATAGAAATAACAGAAAAAGTTTTAATAACGCAAAACGAAGAGGCGTTAAGGGAATCCCATACCAGGATTCGTCAAATTTTTATGAGGAAACAAACGATGCCGATACGTCAGCCAGGAGGAGACAGCAGGGGACGGGTTATGATCCTCGAACGAATTAATAGAAGATTAATGATGATATAAATATTAATAAATAATAAAGTATATGTTGCGAAACTTTTGGAGAAAATAAAATTTAAAACGCAGAAATGAGTTGTAATATAATTTATTGAAGCTGAATTTTGTGTAGGTGTTTGTCCAAAGGACGTTACAGCTATTAAAAACAAGAAAAAGGAGGCAATTTCCTTGAAACTCTGCGACAACTTTGAATAATTCTGATACGTCATGTTTGTATTTTTTTGTTAGTAATTCTCAGATAATTTTTTTACTTTGTTTTAGATTTTATTTGATTTAATTTCACGAGAATTTATGAAAAAACTTTAGCATCAACTTAAATCAGCTTCATATTTATATATAAAAAAAAAATACTATGGCTAATAATAAAAAATACACAATCGAAAAATAAGTGGTTTATCTTATTCTGCCAATTATTCATAATTAAGTAGTAATTTTGTTTCGAAAGGCTACTAAATTGTTGAAAATACATCTAATGACACAAACCGCTTTTTAATTCGTAATTTATGGATATCACCTTAAGTACTTTAAATATAGATAGACCTGAAGATTTATTTTTAAAGATTAACGATTACACGATATTTGACATTAACAGAAATAAGCATAGAGAATGCCATTTAAAAAAATTCATAAATCACAGTATTTATTAACACATATTTATATTTTTGTTGCGGCTGGTGTTTTACGGTAAAGAAAACATTTTTCAGATCCAACGTTACTTTTAGTGACACGAAAAAAGACATAACGGATGATTAAAATTGTTAAACAGTCATACCTGGGATAGTTATAATGAAAAACGGGATCAGTCAGCAAATTCCGGGGTATTACAACGGTGTGGTCCGACGGGGAGTATGTCACTTTAGGAACATTTTCTAAGGCGTAAGACATCATCGGTTCCTCATGAACCAGATTCGTCAGTTTCTTTTCTTCCAGTTTTCTATTAAAACTTATCGCGTTCTTTACACTCTCAAATAGGTTCGTCTTGATTATCCTCAAACTCGAGAAGTAGCTTTTCAGGAAAGGTTCTTTCTTTGCGTTTTCCGGCACTCCCACTTGTAACCTGAGGGTGGCTAGCTAAAACGGAATACGTTTATCCCGAGGAAACGAAACGATCTAAAGTCGTTACCTTTAATTTTAGATGTCGGTATAACAAGGCGTTATTTTCGAATTTACCAAGTCTGTTTCTCACCACAGTGGCAATGGAATTAAACGTGTTATTGACAACGGAGATTGCTTCGCCAGGAATTGGATTGTCTTTTTCTAAAAAGTTGTTCGTGGCGAGGCCCATGAATTTTCTTACAATGCCGGCGCAGATCTCCCATCTCGGTAAAGGTTTTTCTATACCTAAAATAAATTAGGTACTCCTTTTTAACTAATACTGAGCAATATCGAGTACTGTGGCGGAAAATGTTTCAAAAAAATTAAAATCAACAAAAACTAGTTTTGAATTTACCAAAAAGTTCTGAATTAAAAGTATCCATCGCCGAGGTGTACTTATTAGATAGATACGGAATATACCGTCGAACTAGTGTCCATATTAAATAACCGTTCATGGTTTTTCTGTCGGTCGTTGAAATAATTTGTGCGATATGCCCCAAATACTCTAATGAGGTAACTATGACTTCTGTGTTCTCTGTAATGTTTGACTCTGGATACATGGCTTGCAGTAGGTCATAAAACGGTATCTATAATTAAAAAAATAAGTTTGGATAGTTTGTACGCAGTAAGATTTTGTACGTACCAGCGTTGTTTCTTTAAGTTCTGATATAGAGACAGAGTTATACATCGCTACGGGATTTTGAAGGTCGATCGTATTAGGCGTAACTTCCGCTATTCTTTTTTCGTAAGAAAACATGTCTGTACCAAACTTGGTGGCTTCGTTCCGAGCGGTACTACTTAAATGGATTATCACGTCCCTGATATATTCTTTGTAAGCCATCTGTACCTAAAATTACGAGAAGTCTAAGAAAAAGACACTTGTAACAAACGTAATGGGTGCTGTATTATGAAAGAAAATCAAATATTTATTGCTTTTACTACTAAATTATCTAGAAAAAAGCATTTGTGATGTTTATATGAACTGGCGTTATTATTTTTGAATTGTCAGTGTTGCGAGAAACAACTACTTCGAGAGCTATATGCCCCTACCGGCATTGAATTATGCTCGCAACACCTAGTGCAACAGCTAGGATCGTTTGTCAGTTTAACACACCAGGCACAGACCGGTTTCGGACTTATTAGTCCTCATTAGTGTGTCATAGGCGCGACAATCGACAAACGAGTTATTATTTTTACAGAGAATTAACAGTGGAATATTGCAATATCACTCACTCGATCATCTTCGTCTCTGAAGTAGTACTCTTTGTCCGGCAGGCCCAGTCCAGAGGGAGACAACACGATGCTGTTGTGACCGGGCATATTGGGGTTAGGCTCGACGGAAATTTTGAAAAACGGAGACACCCCATATCTTACGTGCAACTGTGTAAAAATTTTGTTCCGGTCAAAATCCGTTTCGCTCCAGTCTCTCAGGACGTACCATCCACCTGAAACAAGAAATAATTCTCAATCACTTCGTGTAAGCAAAAAATTAAGCGTTTTCTTAATGATGAAGCGTTTCTTAATCAAGAAGAAATTTACGTGTTAATTTTATTCTCTCAATAGAGTGATAATCTGTTGGAATTCATCTTTTTAAGCTTAAGGGATTACCTATATTTAGAAATATGATATTAGAGTTTGCAGGTTATTAATTGATTTATTTTTTTGTTTCTACAACGACCTCGGTTAAACAGTGTACCTATCATCAACATGTTTAAGCGGGACTTTGGATATAATGGAGCATATTAGATACTGCTATTATAGACAATCTCTCTTTGCAAGTGATTTTCAAAACTCTTTTTTTTTTTGATGTTACAACAAAGACGAATTTTTGTTTTGTATTGACACAATTTTTTCCTTTGAAGTCTGTAATCTGTATTTAGGGTTTCTGGTCGAGACTTCTCGAAGCGAGAATTCCCGGGAAATCTGGCCTTA